TCCTTCTATTTAAATTATTTCATTGCTATCTTGAGTGGCGGTCCCATATGGTAAAATTAAAACCACAAACATGTTTGATATCTTTGATGACAGTTATTGCCCATATTTAATAAGTGGGTGGAGTGACTGACAGTACACAGTATACTGATTAAACATTCATTAATGATCATTCTAGGAATTACATCTGGAGACAGGAGCGTCGCTGGAGGGAGAATGTGGAGCTGTGACACCCCCTTCCCATCCTACAAGTTTTCCTATCAGTAAATTTGTTGACTTTTTCTAAAAGGCAAATCGATACAAGTTTTTTTTTTTTTTTTTCTTCACAAGATTGCTCTATGAATTAGCGTTCATGTATATGTACATTGTATTCCGTTTATACACAAAACGGTTTTACTCTGTCCCCAAAGAACAGCTTACTTTTTAATTTTTAATTTATTTGTTATTAATTTATTTCCACATGTGGGATGGTTTACCCTTTCAACTTAAGTTGGTTGTCAAAGGGGTCCACACACATCTAAAAACTGTGCATCCATGTTAAAGACAGCTTAATTATACACCCATGTACATTTTATATTCAATAGATATACCGAAGTACATGGACGTAGAATGTTTGTGTAAATCCATCCGTGTACATGTATGCTGTACACTATGCAACTGTCTACAAAACTTTGAAAAAGGCTTTAAGGCCCCTCATGATGAAGTACCTTGGGAAGCCTTGGGAAATGAACATCAGCAGGGAAGAACTTCCCGTCTGATGAGGGACCTGGAAATCTGCAGCTGGTAATTGTGGAAATACAAATCTTAGACCATCTCTCATAACAAATTAAGAATTTTACCTTGATGATATTTATCTTCAAAACTAACAGCACAAACAAGTAAACTGATTAAAAAACTGTGGAAACTTGAAAAATTGAATACATGTACATTTATATGTAACATCACATTGTAAAGAAATGCATACAGTAATAATGGACAAAGTTATAATGGGTTTAATATGAAACTTATGAATGATGTTAATGTGCTTATCGTTGGTATACATGTACATTACCATCATGCACATGTGCAAATGTGCAATTACTTGTGTTTTGCTGTGAATGCAAATTGTAGTCCTACATTTTGAAACGTGATCCAATTACAGATTTTAGTTCTTGGATATCCATGTATGATTGCATATAATGAAGCTTGCTATGGATTTATAAGGCCATTTATATGGAGTCAATGCACTCCATAATTCCATTGAGAGTGGCCATAAATTGAAGCTCAGACCACCTTTTACAAAGGCTTACATGGTATACTAGTAGTAGAAATTGTCGTCAACAAATTGACATGTGGATTACAGGAGCATATTTGACTGGTTTTCCCTCTTTGTATGGCCCCCGATGTAAAGCGTATGTAGAGAATACGAAGGGCTTACTACTTGGTGCTGCATTACGATTTTAATTATCATTCAATTTGATGACGGGTTGGTTGGCGTTGCCAGTGGCTTATCACGTACCGTTCAGCTGCAGTTGTGTGCGTTTCCTAGAGGGGAAGGAAGGAAGGACAGAGCAAATGAGATTGAGATAGGGAGAGGGTATGGGGTTAAGGGATGAGGAGATACAGGGGTTTGGAGGAGCGAGGGGGGGGGGGGAAGGGGCATGGATGAAATTATATCCTGCACGTGTGTACGTTTCCTAAATGGAAAGGAAGGACGGACAGGGTAAATGAGATTGAGATAGGGAAAGGGTATGGGGTTAAGGGATGAGGAGATACCGGGGTTTGGCAGAGGGGTGGGGGGGGGGGGGCCTTTGAGGAAGGGGGAGGGGGCTTTGAGGAGGGGCATGGATGAAATTATGTCCTGCACGTGTGTACGTTTCCTAAATGGAAAGGAAGGAAGGAAGGACGGACAGGGTAAATGAGATTGAGATAGGGAGAGGGTATAGGGTTAAGGGATTAGGAGGTATTGGGGACAGTGGGGATGGGGGCTTTGAGGAGGGGTAGCGTGTGGATAAAATTATGTGTCCTACATGTACATTACTGGTTGGCTACATGTGCAGGTATCTTTCACTACCTGTGGAAGGAAAGAACTGTTAGTGGGTTTGAGATAGGGAGAGGCTACGGGGTTCGGGGGGTAGGAGACATTAGAGGAGGGGGGGGAGCAATGGAAGTGGGGCATGGGTAAAAGTGTGTCCTACATATACATGTGCAGTAGGTGAATTTAGGTTGCATACATGTTTCTTCCCCTACTTGTGGAAGGAAGGAAGGAAATTTTATTAGTGGTTGAGTTTTTTTCCCCTGCAGTGTTGGGAGGATAAGAAGTAAATGAGACTGAGATAGGGAGAGTGTATAGAGAAGAAGGCATGGGGTCAGGGAGATGAGGGGGTATGAGGAGGGGGAATAAGGAGGGGCGTGAGTTATTACAGTTGTATCCTACTGTGGATTTAGGCTACTTGTAACTTTCTCTACTTGTGCGAGGGAAGGGAGAAGGACTATTATATTGGTGGGTTTTAAGGAAGTGTTTTGTCGTGTTGAGGATGATTTATGAAAATGGGATTGAACTAGGGAGAGGAAACATGATGATGGTGATCCATAGCACTTGCATGGCGCCTTTTATCTGTTTCAAACATTAAAGGGCCCTGCTCCTTCAATAGTCATGGACTATACCTTTGCCTTAAAAAGATGGGTTTTGAGGCCTGCTTTAAAGCTTTCTAGCTTGTTAATATGCGATAAGGGGTGAGGGGACAGGGAGGGGGGGGGGGGGGTTGAGAAAGGTACATGGAGGACGATGTGTCCTAGATGTACATTTGCAATATTTAGAACACAACTTGCTCTAATGTGAGAGAGAAGTGAGAGGACCATATTTTGCATAGTAATTCACATGTAGGAGGACTGCTGTACATTGTCATGATAAGAATGATAGACAATATAAGATAATGTAAATGAGATTTAGATGAGGGGAGAATATTTTAAGGGATTGTTATATATATACATGTACATGTAGGGGATTCACAGTTAAATTATAGAACATGCATATATTGTTGAAGGGAAGGGGAAGGATTCTCATGTTGTGTCATGATGAGAATGATAGAACAAATAGGGATAGATTCAGAAATGAAATATGTTAAGATTGCACAGACACCTACATGAACTAATATGTGTAGTAAACTTGGGAAAATGGGTTATAGAAATAACAAAATAATTAATTCATTTGTGATGTTCATGTACATTTGAAATGGCCCAAGTGCAGGTTGAACAATAAAACACAGAATGACGTAATAGCCAAAAACGGAGGAGGATTCACATAGAGGGAGATAGATGGGGATCGAAAGCATTGGGAAATACGGATATGTACACGTACAGTACGTCTGTGTGTGTATCTGTGTGCATGTGTGTGGTTTACGCAATCACGGAGAACGCTTGTCATGATCATATTAAGGTTCATAGAAAGTCCACATTAAAATACATGAGACCGTTTACATTTAATGCAACATACAGCAACAGAGGAATATATGCATGAGACTAAAACATGATAATGGAGAGATACAACATACATCCATCCCACTATCCTTTGTAATAGATGGAATGAAAGAGAAGGATGCGATGTGGAACATCCTCCTCCTCCTCGTACAGTGCGGAGGCCTCATTTTGTTGATGACCATGGAGCAAATTATTTAAATGTGGCAAAGCGTGTGTACATGCGTGCCCATGCATCCAAAAAGCTCAGTCTATATTTGCTCTGTTAGCTCAGGCTCTGCAAACAGTGTGTGTGCCACTGCGTCCCCCACAAGCTACACTGTGGATGCTGTTGCAGCTAGTGGTAGCTGGTGACGATGCGCTGCTCTGTCGCCCTTGTCAGGGGATGTTTAATTATTAAGTAGTGCAGCCTGGGGGAAAGGTTAATGCTGCTTGATGGTGGAGTTTATTGATGAGCTTGTGACCTGCTTTTATGTACAATAGTAAGGCATCAATTCATGTATTTTATACATGAACCACAGTGTTAATGTTGAAAATTACATCTATTTGACAAGTATAAATATTTTACTGGTACATGTTTAGGTCTTTGGTACATGCATACGGGTAAAAAGAATTGCTTGAATGCTTGAAATTTAAGTAATGTTATAAATAGGTGGATGAATTTTGAAATTTAAGTAGAAAGTGGATTAATAGCCAAAACAATCAGTTGGGAAATATGGAATATAGTCAATTTTGTATATTTTAGTTGAGTTATAAGAGACTGTCACTCTCTTTAGCTTTGTATTTGCACAAAAGAGAACAAAGCAGCTTTGTAGCCTTGTACATATGTACAGACTACAGTATATAGTGTATCTTGCTTCTATATATGACAGTAGATCTACATTGCATGGCCTACGCATATATATATATATCTAAGGAAAAGAACAAAGGTGCCATTTACAATATCAATGTGTTTTTAATTGTAAGACACCATACTTAGACATACATGTTTCATATCTTTGATGCTCCTTGATTGCAGGGATATTGTATGCACATGTATTTGTAATGAGTGCTATTTAGATGTTATTCATTGTGTAGGTGTGGATTAACCTCACCTGATCAATAATTGCCCATGTGATGTGAGGTGAATATTTAATGATTATTATTTACATACCGCATGCCTATCAGAAAACCTGTACTATGTCAGGAATGTAAAAATACACTAATGTCAACATATTATGTACATGTACTATCAGCAGGGGAGACACGTAAGTACTTGCAGATAATAGCCAAAACAGATAACATGAACGACAAAGGATTTTGAGTCTGTTATTACATTTGATAATACAGGAAGTGTTTTAAACCATGATCAAGTTCAAACTATGTTGACTTTATTGAAACTTTTCCAAGAGACCCCCAATAAAAGTGAATAGCTTAACTATGCCATATGAGTGAATCTACAACCACCCAGTATATTCTGTATTCTATCTTTCCTTTGCCCATAATCGATGAGCGTTGTTGGTGTGTTTCTAACAATCAGCAAATGTTTTTGTCATTGTGTCTTTCAGATAGCTTGTGTTTGAGAGAGGACGAGCCAATTTCCAGCTGATCTGTAGACCTACGCAAATTTGCAGCCATTTGAGCTGCTCTTCACGACTTAAACTCATTCTCATTGTGTAAGTATTGACATTAACTACTTTTTCACTCCTGAAGCTATTTCAAACCGAGGAGCTTCAAAGCATTTTGCCCCTACCTTGCTTCGTATGATCACTACTATGACCTACATGTATATCGAGGTAAAGGGAACCATTCAGTATGTTTGTACAAACATCTATGGAGAGGGAAGAAGACACTGGTATGGTGTGCCAAACAAGTGCTTGCGTAAGGAGTATGTGGGCTGTTTGTTATTTCACGATCATACCCATACAAATGTGCAAGTGAAACATTTCTTTTTAGGCAGTAAAATTACTCTAACTTGCAACTTGTATTTAATGGTAATAGGTTAATTAATACCAGGGGATTCTCATTCAGGGAAAAGCAGATTTAGTAGACTGGTCTATAATAATCGTGGTTAAGCGGAAAACCAATCTTTGATTATCAAGTTCCTGCATAGGGCGTAATCTGCACATCCTTTGGTTACATATACATGTAGATGTCCAAGTATGTCTACGTCTACATGTAGTGTACACAATTTTACATTTACATACATGTACATGCTGTTGTTGCGTATGAAATTCAAAAGTATGAATTAATGATTAATGATGATAATAGATTAATCCCCTGTAAAAGAAACATAAAATTAATTAAGAAAGGGGAAACTTGAATTTATATGGAGGTCTAAATGGTCCGTGATTTACATTTAGATTTCTTTACAGGGCTTATTTTGTTATGGTTAGTCTTGGACATACATGTATATACTCTTATTATTCTTTATATTTTATTTTATTTTTGTATCTGATGGAACAGATATGTCTTTGATTCTACAATTGCCTCACATGTAAATAACACGATTGTATTTATTCATTTCTGGATCAGTTAGGACCAAATATAATTATAAGATTTACAATTTTACATGCACACAGCCTTTAAATTATTTTGCTCTCCTATTGTGCAGTGGGACCAAATAAATATATTCTCACGAAAGAGGGGAACAATGTAAGTCTTGTAAGTCGTCCATTGAATTTGAAAAGAAAAGAATACATCTCGAAAGAATAAAAACATGTTGACTGTTTATCCGGGTTAGTCCCACACACCTGCATCGGTGTACAGTCGACCCAGACTGGCAAATACTCCACTCTGTATTGACAAGTGTGGTTAACCACAATAATGAGGGAGTGATCAGCAGGGCAAGGCAGTCGCTGAAAATAAAAAGCACTTCTAAAACAAGCCGCAGTGCTCACTAGTCAAACTTTCGTTTCGATATCAAATCAATTCAGGAAGTAGGAGAGAAGTAAACATCATTATCAAACCAGGTAGCTTGGGTCAGGGTTGGTAGCCTCGAGTCCGGACTTATTGATTTTTCTTTTGACAGCTTGAGTAGCGTCCTTTTAAAAGCAATGTTTTTAAAGTGATGTTATTTGAAAAACGGGCTTTCGAAAATTCAAATTGGTCAGATAGAATAAAAAGGACAAAACAAGGAAAGGATGAGACTGAGAGAGAAAGCAGGAATGATAAACAAGATGTACAGTGTATGTAACGTTCAAGCAAAAAAAAGAAATAGCAAATGAAATTGCTTATTGATTTATTCGTTATTCTTATAATGGCACTAATGATGTTGATAATGATCATGGCAAGATGGAACATCAGAGAGAGAGAGAGAGACAGAGAGAGAGAGAGAGAGAGAGAGAGAGACAGAGACACAGACAGAGAGAGAGAGAAAACAAAGTGAAACAGATTATGGTTAGGGGATTTTTCTTTCTTAGCATTCTTTGCGGAAGGAAATAGAAGAAATAGGCAAACATGTTTGTTTTGACTGCTAACACTTTGCTCTTTGAATGTCTTGGGGAGAATAATCAATAAAAAAGATAAGAAACAAGAAACAAATACATTTCTTTGAAATAAGTACAGCTTTGCAGACAAAAATTAAAAAATAAAAATTCTTAAAAGACATTCACATTCACAACAAATGTATGCACATGTGTCATTTTAGTTTGTGTGTACATGTTCTCTGAATGTTGAAATAAACGGGACATGCAATTTATGAATTTATTCACTTCCTGTTGAAGGGAAATAAAAAATTCCCCTCCCGTCCAGTACCAAGATACATTCATTTGTGTTACTGTGAGCGCAAATATATGTTCTTGCAACATAAGGGGAAAGTAGATGATGCCGGAAGTCTAAACAAATTGTACAATGTGTATTAAACTGAATGGTCGTTTGCCTATATGCATAGATAACATTCCTCTCCAGTTATTTTTTATGTTGGAAACATACACTTACAGGAAAAATTAAAGGATTATGATAATAAACATATTCAAAGCAGTGAATAAAGTAACCATTAGATTTGTATACATATTTTGATTAAACTGTACTACATGTAGATGTATAAATATCAGACATTTATTTATTTATTTATTCATGTCTTCTTTAAAAAGCAGGGTAGTTCATTCATTTGAAAAACTGCTTTACGATGAAGCCCTGCTGCAAGATACAAAATACATGAACAAAAAAAAAATCTTTAAAAAACAACTTAAAACAAAAAACAATGCTTAACATGAAATACTAGAAAGTATCAATACAAAATTACAAATAATTAGTGCATGTAGCATACATTACATAAGGTTTAAAAAATACCAGGAATCCATGTTTACTTTTTGGAAAGGGGGGGGGGGGGTCCATATTAAATTTTCAGAGTCTGACTCCATACACTCTGTGTTTTGAATATGTGTGTTTACACTTTACAGTTTGAGTGCCTGGAATTACATTTGGGGTGCCCATGGGTCCTGGGTGCCTAGTTTAGTCGAGCCCTGATGATACTCTGATGTATAGTATGTTCTGAAAATTACGAACCTATTGTGAATGACTGAGACATATACAATCAGAAGACATTCGCTGATTAACTAATCAATAGTAGCATGTTTTTTTAGATAGACTCTAATCAGATAGATAAGGCACTCAGACTAACAGCGTGTCCACACACAAAACAATTTATTCCGAAACTCTATAACGAAACGTCGTATAAAGAAACATCGTATAAATTTCAGAGTGTCCACACACAAGAAACATCGTATAAATAATCATCGTATAAATTCCAGGATGTCCACACACAGAAGAAAGTAATCCTGAAACTCTACAGCGAAATGTTGTATAGGTGCGCAGTTTGCTACTGCGGTCATGAAATGGAAGCGGAAATGAGAGGTCTGGTCTCCTTTCGCTCGAGATCACGTTAAGCCCCGCCCAGTTAGTTACACTAGTTACACTCCCCCTGTCCACACACAACATTTTCCGTGATTAGGCGTGATAAGGCGTGAATCTTTATTGAGTTTCAGTTCGAAACGATGCCCAAACCTGCATTTCGTTATATGACGTATCATTAGTGAGCGTCCACACACACAATTTCATCGTAAAACTATCGCGAAACGGTATCACTATCGCAAAACGGTGTAGCTAATCACGCCTAATCGCGGAAAATGTTGTGTGTGGACAGGGGGATTGTCTGCCAGTTTCACTGTACAGTGAAACCTGTTTATAAAGACTATTCAAGGGAGACAAGTGGTCTCCAACTCTCCATAGGCAGGTGGTCTTTGTATACAGGTTCCTTTGAAATATATTATTATATAAAGATAAATTAATAAAGGGACTTTGAAAGAGGGGTCTATGAACATTTACAGTGTAGGTGGATGGTCTTTCTGTAAAGGTTGTCTGTTAATATTAAGCAGGTTTGACTGTAATATTCTTCCTGGTTGTAAATCAGCATTTGTTTTTAAATGTTCATGGACCTCCGTAGAAAAGCAAATGAAAACATTAGTGTTAAGGGCACTGTCTACATGAACATGTAGAGTGTCTGTGAGGTACACTGTAATAGTTTGAAAATTCAGACACTTTGTTTTTACCTACTCCCCAAAACATACATGTACTAGACAGACTATGGGTATGCCTAAGCCTGGTAATGGCAAATAGGAGTCCATGTTTTTGTTTAAATTAAAGCTTGTGTGTAGGTTGTCTTACATAAATTAATGCATTGCTTGTTAAAGTGAAATTGAATTTTCTGAAGAATATCATTCAAAATTTGAAGTAATCAGGAGAAAGAGACCATATAGGAGCTAGTATGTTTTATATGTGTGTGTATAAAGCTCTGGAAAGTACTGTTAAAAGCAAAAATGTAAGAAAGAGTAACATATTTCTGTTTTAGGCCCACAGCAAATCATATCATACATATGTACATGTGTATTTACATTGAATTTAGTGTATGACATGTGTATTTACAGGTTTTAGCTCTTTGAATCAAAATGAGTATAAAAAAGGTTCACATTAAAAAAAAAATCATGAGCTACTGAATTGTTTGAATTAATGTACAAATAAATAAATAAAGCGCACACATGCCATACATGTACTGGCCCGGGTACCGGTATATGGGTAATCAGTATGTATTACCCGAAGGTCTGGATTATGAAGACTAGCAATCACCCGCATGCTAAATATATGTACCCTGCATGTTAGAGACGTACCCCAAGGATCAGCAGAAAAGGGAAATCATTAATAGAAGTTCCGTCTCCCACATGTCAACCTCTTGGCGCCGTGGTAATCTTGGTCACCGTTTTGAATCTCAGTAGGCCTGTCTTCACTAGCTCGAGATTGCCAAATATCCTGCTATTTGAACTATCCCGATCGCAAACTATCCAGCTAATTTGCCACTTCATCAGACCAAAGTAGCAATCAGCGGGATATTTGGTCGGGATTGGCATCCCAAGATATCTTGGGATAGTTTGCAAAATATCCAGCTATTTGTCCGGTGCGTCTTCACCAGACCGAACACCCGCACTATACGTGAATGCTGAGCAAAATATCTCGAGCTGATTTCTCATGGTCGAGTTTCAAGTTTTGAGGTCAAATCTCGAGCTGATGAAGACGCAATTTGTAACTTCAGGATTATTTCCCAAATCAGAAATGGGCTATTTGGCAATCTCGATATGATGAAGATGAGCCTAGTCTGAGCGTGCCTGTTTGTAGGATGCTGGCTCTATTTACACACCCTTTGCACAGGGTTCATTGGATTCCATTTATTTGCGTTCTGGTTGTAAAACAGCTGATAAAAAGTTGATTTCTGCAAATTGGTTACTGTTTTATGACTATATTTTTTAGATTTCTCAATTTATGCTACCATTCATTCTGTGGTTTCATAATAGGATCATTAAAACTGTTTCATTACTCTGTTTACAGGTGGTTTGATAATTGATTCTAAATTGGCTAATTTCACTGGCATTCAAAGTTTAAATGTCTTATACTGCTGAAATATTTGTTTAAAGGAAACAGTAGAAGGTACCAGACCAAGAGGGTAACCAAGAACTAACTGGGAGGGGAACATTAAGACATGAAGTGGCATGACACTGCAAGAGTGTACTAGGGTGGTAGAAAACAGAAATGTGTCAATCTCTGTTGCAATCAACCTCTGAGCTAGGAGCAGATAGTAGATCAGCATTCTGACAAGATTAATATGTGTGAATTCGATCTACATGTAAGCTGCTTGAAAAAAATTATGAAACCTTCTTTTAATAGAATATAGGTCTTTGTTTTCTGCAATATAAGCTACATGTAGATTGTCATGTTACTCCAATTCCACTAGTACAATTTAAAAAAAAACTTATAGTTTGTTAAATGAGTATTTGAATTACTTGATCATGTTGATCATTCATGCACCTGTGTAGTATGTACGTGTTCAAGTGTCAGCTTACAGTGTGTACACAATATATGGAAACTGAAAATAGGACAACTTTTTTAATGGATCAAACAAAATTTACATCACATGTGTAAGATAGTAATAACATACATCAGCGAGAGGAATTGACTGAACAGTCGGGTAATGCAGAGAAAGGGGACAATGGGGCCATTCTGAACAAATATACAACATTACCTCACCCTGTATAATATACATGTACATGCATGGCCCTCTTGCAGCTCTACTTTGGGTGCAGCCTTCAACTTTTTTAATGATGTTGTTTACATTTTCTGACATGAACAACACTGCTTGATCAACAATTATAACAGTGCCATTACAGATTCTTGAGAAAAACACATAAAAACAAGTTTACTCTTCATAAATTGTAAAGAGTTTCTGTACGCTATAGCTTAAATAAAAATAAAAATAAATTTTATATCAGGTGCATTCTTTACACATGGACATTAGAAAGATTTTCTATATTACAATGTACAGATTCTTTCTTATAGCAGAAGTAATCTTCTGAATAATATATAAGAGCTTGGCAGCTGAACTTCTTGGGTCATGTTATTAGGAATGTTATTAGGAAGAATGGTTTGGAAATTCTTACACTGACTGGAAAAATCTAGGGGAGGAGGATTAGGGGCAGAAGGAGGATTCTGTGAATAAGTAGCTTCAGGAGTGGGATTTCTGAAAGTGGAATTGATCTTGGGGAGAATGATTTACTTCATAGAACATGGGACATAGGGTTGTAGCGAGTAAAGAAGAAGAGGAATCTTCATAACAGATTCTCTGGAAATAAAACAAACTTTGACCTATTTGTTTTTCTTTTATTTTTCAGGTGCAGCCAATACGCTCCAGGCAGATGGCAGGCACCAAGCTCAACCACCATCAGCCTAACCATCATCAGTTCAACTATCATCAACTCAACTCACAGTTCTACCATGTCACTGTTGGAGATACACATTTCCAGATCCTCAAGAGATACAAGAACCTCAAGAGTGTTGGCAGCGGCGCCCAAGGTCTAGTCGTGTAAGTAGATTTTATTTGTACGACAATAGGCCTGTCTTTATCAGCTCGAAATTGCCAAATATCCTGCTATTTGAAGTTACTATCCCAATCGCAAATTATCCAGTTAATCTTCATCAGCCCAAAGTTGCCATTAGCGGAATATTTGGTTGAGATAATCATCTCAAGATATCTTGGGCTAGTTTTCAAAATATTCCGCTATTTGGCAAAATAGCCCGAAGACTCACACTATGCGTTGAGCAAAATATCTCAAGCTAAATTCTCGAGTTCGAGTTTCAAGTTTCGAGGTCAAGTCTTGAGCTGATGAAGACGATATTTGTAACTTTGGGATTATTTCCCAAATCAGAAATAGCAGGCTACTTGGCAATCTCGAGCTGATGAAGACAGGCCTAATTACCTTAATGATCATTACCATCGGGAATGTGGATCTTCTTCTAATCTAGTGACTGCTACATACAAAGTACTGCTAAATACTCTATCTACCCGTTCTACATTATCTGATGCTGATAGTTTTCTATACTTTGACTACTGCTACTGCTTTTACATGTACTTCTACCACGACTTTGACTACCACCACGACAACGATTACGACTACGACAATTGGCTATCTTTTTTACTGCCACTTCTACTCCTCTTTTGATTTTGATAGTTGATGTTTTTCATGTTGCTTTGGAAACCACTACCTCCACTGCAGCTTACAGATGTGCTTAAGTTAGATATGAATTAATAAACTCATGATGAAGGGCAAAGTCGTAATCCTGTAAGTGCTTGTTTCCCCTTCAAAATTGATGGTAATATCTTTGCTTCATGTGTCTGCTCTTCATCAGGTAGCAACAGCTTCCTTTTCTAACCTTCTTGATTTCATTGCAAACAACTGCAACTACCTGTACGCACTTGTCATGATTGTTATCAAATAAACTCAATCTTGTATTACTGCTGTTTCAGCGGTTTGTACTCCTACTGACTACTTCTACTACTTCTTTCTGTAATTTGTTTTGTTACCACTACTGCTGCTATAGCCCCAACCCTACCACAGCACCTACATGTACATATACCCTACTCATCACACCACCATTACCACCACCACTGCTACTGCTACTTTAAATACCAAAGTAATTGACCCTTCTGTAATTACTATTACCATGACTACAGCAGGGTAACATTTATCAAATATTCATGCCATTCCTGAAATTGTCATCACGTACAGTAGTACTTCAATTAGACTTGTTCATTTTAAATTGGGTAGAGCTTGTACTGTAGTTACTTGAATGAACTATTTGTGTCTATAGTCTAAATGGTATTGTAGGTCATGTTGATATATTCCAAAAGCATGTGAATCCTTTTTTCTAATCTTAAAGCCCCACTGCACTACTTATAGCTACTTGCGCCCTCTATATAGCAAACAATGCCTAATCGATGCCTGATCCCCTTTTTCTCATGTTAATTGAAAGCTGATTTGATGAGATAACCTGTCAGTGACCTTGCAGGGAGGTCTAATCTCCCTTGGCCAAACTAGTGCAGACAGGCTTTAAGTATCATCAAGACAGGTCTGTATCATTTGTCTTTTTTTATAATGAATCACAAATCCTTTACTCTTCCATTCTGCATTTTCTTGTTTTTCAGAGCTGCATATGATGTCCTCACAAACCAGAGTGTTGCTATCAAGAAGCTAAGTCGACCGTTCCAGAATGTGACGCATGCCAAGCGAGCGTACAGAGAGTATATCCTCATGAAATTGTGCAATCATAAAAATGTAAGTAACTAATAAAGAAAGGGGAAGCCCCATCGTCATAAATAAGAGATTTGGGTACCTTGCAGAACACCTGTTTTGTAGGAATATTTCTATGTACTAGACAAAGATCTGCCTTGATTTGTCTTTCAGTAATGATATTCTAACATTTCATGAAGATTTCTGATTAATATTATGGATTCACAGACTTAAATCTTGAACAGTGCTTTCATGTCAAATATTTTCATGTATTTAAGGGTAATTTATTACTCATAATGAAGTGTTTGATTTTGATTTGATTTAATTTGATTTATTTTTCCACTCAAATATCCACAAATTAAAATGACATATAAAACCATACATTATTACAATATATACTGTATAATGAACTATGATATTTGATTTGATTTTGTTGTTAACACATGTTATATACCATGTAAATTACACTAATTTTCATGGCCTTGCTTCAAAAATATGTATGTACTTTCTAAACGGACTTCAATATATAATAGAACATACCCAGGTCTGTATTTTATAAAGAGAGGGTTGAGTTCTGGGAAGAGGTGAAGAAAAAAATTGTGAGGGTTATCATTGTTATTATGCACCAATACTTATATGCCAGATGCATGATCAACGTTTTCTGATTCATTCCACACCGTTTCTTTCACAATGCAATTGCAGGACAAGAAATCAACTTTATCTTTAAGTGGCATTATATTACATGTATATTTATTCTTGCGAAAAAACCTTTGAAAATTATTTTCTCTCCTTCATTCTTCCAGATTATTGGTCTCCTGAATGTGTTCACGCCGCAGCGGACGTTTGATGACTTTGCAGATATTTACCTAGTGATGGAACTAATGGACGCTAGTCTGGTCCAAGTCGTTCAGATGGACCTGGACCATGAGAGGATCTCCTACCTTCTCTATCAGATGCTATGTGGCATCAAACACTTACACAGTGCAGGGATTATCCACAGAGTAAGTATGCCAGTCCCATATGTGCTTAATGCTGTTGGTAATGAAAGGCACCCTCTTAACTGCACCCTCAAGATGGGCTAATTTAATGGACTATCTAGGTGGTGGGTTAGTCACTTAATTAAGGACAAACCTGTCACGTTACTCTTTGATAGTGAAATAAAAATATGTGGGAGGAATATATCTGACCAATGTTATAAACCATATGTGATGGTCACAACAATTTTAATATGTGCTTTGAGAAGTCTTTCATCGTAATCAGAGAATCCATAGTTTCCATCAGTAATTTGTAGATACAGCCAGAAATGTGAAACTTCACTCTATGACTTCTAAATTTGCCAGTACCCATGGGCTTTAATACAGGGATCACCAGGTTCCTGCAGGCAGGGGTTAAAGTGACTGATCTAGGTTATTGTTGTGGCTCTGTAATCAGAGAGTTTGAAGGCTTTTCATGTATTGCATCTTGAGTGTGTCTTTTGTTGCTATCTTCCTACAGGACTTGAAACCCAGCAATATCGTAGTAAAGACAGACTGTTCGCTGAAGATCCTGGACTTTGGTCTCGCCAGGACAGCTAGTACTAGCTTCATGATGACCCCTTACGTCGTTACCAGGTACTACAGAGCACCAGAGGTCATCCTAGGCATGGGCTACAAGGAGAACGGTGAGTCTAGAACGATGAGGGAGCTCTAGTGATACTTGGAATTAAGAGGTCTTACGTAAAGAATGTTCTCAGTAAAAACTTGTACTGTTGGCGCTGCATTACTCCTCAAATATAATCCCTTCAGAGCTGTAGGTCCCTGGAATACATGAGGAAGTGACGTGCCTTCTTCTCAAATAAAATAGTTGATGATCATTGTTTGAGGTTTTACCCTATACCACCAAAAGCATTATCTTTGTTTTTGGACTGAGATGTGATTACAAAAATATAATGTGGCCTTTTGACAGATTATAAACATTTTGTAAACTTGTGGTCTCAAAAGTTGCAAAACTGCAGAAATGAGTACATTACCAAAAGATTTGTTCTAAACTGTGGTAGATTTGATTCAGTTAATACGATTCCAAGTTCCAGTGAGAATAGACTTCAAGAAAGTGATTGAATAAAGTGAAGAAGGGATTCGCAATGTGAAATAGAGTTAATAGAATCAGTTAGGATTGGGTGGCACAAGACCAACCTCCATACTGGCAGACTACCAGCTCTTGAGATACTTTTGATGTTTGTATGGATTGATTTTCTTTCTTTTTCACTTGTTTCAATTTGATGGTAACAAAGTTTTTTCTTTCTCTCTGCTGTATAGTTGATATCTGGTCCATAGGCTGTATATTTGGTGAGATGATCAGAGGACAAGTGATGTTCCCCGGCTCAGATCGTATCCTTTCACCAAAATCAAAATCAAAATCACATCAACTTGAAAAGCAGCATGTGTTTTTATCAAGTCTCAAGCTTTATTTCAATTCAAATCCATAAAAAACAGAAAATACTGATTATATACAATATAGAAAACAGAGAACACATACAAAATGGAATCATGTCTACAAATATACCTGAATTATACAAAGTTAATCAATAGAAATGAATTGGGGAAACTGCAAATAAAACCGTAAGGTTCTGACGAGGCAGTACCTGTTATTAAAAGATACATACAAGTTTAAACAGTTGCCTATAAAAAATATAACAATAACAAAATAGACGGAAGGATTTTTAAATTTTGTATTTAAAAGAGTTAAAAGTGTGTAGAATCATGAATATCTCTGGGGAGAGAATTCCAAAATTTTAAATTGTTAATAGATCAATGATTATGAAACAAGGAGCTCATGCAATTCAAATACAATTTCATTTGATCAAATCTCTCTTAGTGTACCTTGTCATAGGGGATGAATTGGGAGTTATTGCTTTTGGTAATTCAATATGGAAAGATCTTGCGTAGAGAAGCTTTAAAGCACCACTGCACTACTTATAGCTACTTGCGCCCTCTATATAGCAAACAATGCCCAAGTGGTACCCGTTGATCCCCCATGATGCACTTTTTCTTATGTTAATTGAGAGCTGATTTGATGAGATAACCACCTGTCAGTGACCTTGCAGGGAGGTCTAATCCCTCCTGACCAAACTAGTGCAGCGGGGCTTTAAACGGAAATTCAACCTTGATAGCAAACTGCTCTAGAGAGGAAAGCAGAAAATCAGAGAAGTAGACTGGTGAAAGTTTGAATGAAATTATATATTATCAACTAATAGGAATAATATTCTGAAGCAATCATCTACCAGAAAAGGATGAGAAGTCTAATGAAATGAACAACACTTTTATTTCCTTGACCCTGAGACTGACCTTCAGACATTGACCAATGGAACAAGATCGCTGACCTCCTAGGGACCCCAACGGACATTTTCCTGAGCAGACTCCAACCCATGGTCAAGCAGTACGTTGAGAACAGGACAAAGTGTCCGGGCTATTCCTTTGAGATGTTGTTCCCTGATGAACTCTTCTACCAAGCTGAGAGCAGTACGGAGAAGACCAAACTGTGTGGTAGGTAACCTCACAACTGGGGAGTGTTTCACAAAGACTAAGATCAACTTAAGTTGGACCTAACTATGGCAGGCCATTCATGCTACTAGTTGCTCGCATCATTGGTCTCTCAATTATGATCTTTAGATAATATTTTTTCCTACAATAATAAAGTATTAAAAAGTGTAAATTCTGTAACAACGATTGGTACGTCCCTTGAGAAACCACTGCCAGTAAATGATGAGAGAAAATAGTGGCATGAACGGCCTGCCATAGTTAAGTCCAACTTAAAGTCAATCTTAATCTTTGTGAAACACTCCTCTGCACACACTATACGATCGTCCTGCGATCCGTTCCTGAAGAAAATGGCAATTGTATTAGATAGGAAATCTAAACAAACGTCATCTTTCCGATTTAGCTCCTTAGTAATGATAAGAATACCAACAACCAGGATTTTAGTGCATTGAACTCTTCTAATCAGAATAAAAGCTTTATATGAAATTGCACTACTGGACTAGCTTCACTAAATACTGGGCCGATTCGGCTTTTCATCTTCCAAGGAAGCATGAAATCCCTTGAAATTAAATTTTCTTATCATATGACTAGTCAGATTCTTGGTCATTAAGACTTTACATGTTCCTAACAAATGCTCTTGCAAATTATTCCAAAATTAGATCGTAGTCATATTGGTGTAGTGTGTGGTTGGTTTTAGACACAGATAGCCATTGATTTAATGTTAATGGCAAGGGTTCTTATCCCACCGCTGCCACCATAATGAATGAGTATGAACTCTTGACAGTACTCATCTTTTTTTCCTAACCTAGCCATCCTAGCGCTGCATATTAATATTTGAATATTTACGCTGGTGGAGATTACAAAATTAATCGATCAGATTCTGGACTAACCAGTATGTCGCAATGATTATGGACAAGTTACGACCTGGGTAGTCATTCGTTTACGGTAAGCCTTTCAATTTTCTCGAGATGCCATTTGTTTTAAGTAAACATAGCTTTGCACTTGTAATTTTTGTATGAAATCTCATTATTTTATAAATTATCACACCAGATTCTGCGTGCGTGCGTATCATGAATATTTATGACAAGCGCATGACGTATAAGTTCCTTTTGAGCCAATCATATGCAATGGTAGGATGGCTAGGTTCTGGTGCTCCATTATTATTACCCAGGCTTTAGCATGGCTGCCATAACAGCGCTCAAGCATTTTAAGGAATTAATTCCTGACGTCTACCCATTTACCTCACCTGGGTGGAGTGTGGCAAATTGTAGATTAATGTCTTGCCAAAGAACTTAAGTGTTGCATCAGGGATTCAAATGCTGTACCTTGTGGTTCACAGCCCGGAGACGTATCCACTGGACCACGACACCTCTAATAGATATCCAACCACTGTCACCAACCTGTGGTAAGAGAGAGTGACATGAGAAAAAGACTCTTCGCACAGCGTTTTAGTGTTAGCATAGTTAGCCATGTTGCAAGTGTTGTTTATTGCCTTTAAATACAAACTAATCATTTCTACGACATGGGTTTATATGAAACTGTTCCCACAATGTTGGAATAAGATATATTGACAATGAAATGAGGGATTAATGTCCTCATGGTTGGTAGTCATGTTGAAAGGATTTTATTGTATTGTTGCCAGTGACTTTCCCAACAAATTTTAATGTCAGCTTAAACATTAACTGAAAAAAACTTTGAGAATTGTCCAGATTTATGTAACAGTATGTATATATCTTTTCCATTACAGTTGCACAAGCCAGAAATCTGCTCTCAAAAATGCTCATCGTGGACCCCGAACAGAGGATATCAGTTGATGAAGCTCTTCAGCACCCCTACATCAACGTATGGTTTGACCCAGGAGAAGTGTATGGAGTAAGTATGAAGGGACTATACCATTATTTTGAGGGGAGATCAAATTGATTTTTCAGGTCATTGTTTAGCATATTTAACTGTACTGTTATGGTTTTAAAAAGTGATTTTTATAAAGCCTTTGATTGTGCAACTTCTCTGTTCTGGAAGCCAAGAAAAATTGAAGTTTGATCAAATCTTGAAAAAATGAAATATAGTCAAACCTGTCTATAGCGACCACCCAAGGGAAATACAAAACATGGTCTTTATAGACAGGTTTCTTTAGTACATGTTTTAATGAGAAACCATTTTCAAGGGAAACAAAAAATGTGGTCTTTGTAAACAGGTGATCACTAAAGCTGGTTTGACTGTTTATGTTACAAGCTACCTGTTGTCATGCTGATGTTTATTTTCATATTCCAGTAAAACAAAACTTGTTTTCACAAGTGGTGTAATTTTGTAAAGGAAAGGCCTCAACTGTCTTTTTTTTAGGACATGAAAGTCGTGGGTTGCTTTGGTATTCTTTTCTTACGATTTACGATTGCCTCTTCCATTCCGTTTTTTTCCGTTTTTTTTTTTTATATAGCGCTCAATACACCGATCCTTCAATGTGCCTAAGCGCTTTACAGATATATTATTACCCCGGTCATCGGATTCAGGCTTACTTGCAAACAATGTGTGCACATTTTCCACTCCCTGGGGAGCATTCCAGCCAGTTGCCATTTTACAAGCGCACACTTCTCATAAGTCATGTTGTTTTTCTCTTTTATTTACAGCCTCCTCCAATTCCTTATGACCATTCAATAGACGACGGCGGTGATCATATATTAGAAGAATGGAAAGGTAAGCTTTATCATTCATATTTAGAATCAAGAAAAAAAAAGCGTGATATGCTCATGCTTGTGTTTCAGGCTTTTGAGCACAATATCAACTATTAGATCATTATTGTGCGGTGCATATCGAGGGGTCAGTGACACAAAGACGTAACTCCATTTTGGCCATTTTTAGAACAAGTGGTTTATGTGTCACTGAGCACTGGGTCTTAAGGAGTTAAGTCTGTTTCACTATCCATTGACTTCAATGGGGTGTTGGGTGGAGTTAAGTCTTTGTGTTTCCTCGAAAGCCCACATTTTTCTGAACATTTTTTTATCGAATACTCATTTTAGCAAAATATGGAGTTACGTCTTTGAGTCACTGAACCCTCGATATACACTTTTGACTTTAATTCAATGGACAAGAGGGGTCATACATTAGAACAGTGGAAAGGTAAGCTTTATCATTCATATTTAGAATCAAGAAAAAAGTGTGATATGCTCATGCTTGTGTTTCAGGCTTTTGTGCACAATATCAAACTATTGGATAATTATTGTGCGGTGCATATACACTTTTTTCTTTAATTCAATAGACGGGACTTCACACCCTATAGAAGAGGAGAAAGGTAAGCTTCATAATTCATATTTGGAACCAAGAAGAACGTGTTTCAAGTTTCAAACTGTTTTATTTGTTCCACATTTTACAGAAAATATAAACATACATATAAAATAAAAAATCATACAATACAATTGTAGTATAAATGAGCACATCTCAATGATTCTCAATTCATATAATAGATTAAGTAGAATGTGAGGAACCTATTAAAAGCAATACTTGTATAACATAGGTTCCTGAATGCTGAATGATATGCTCATGCTTGTTTTTTTAGACTTTTGAGCACAATCGGGGTTGGCAATTTCCTCCCTGGGTGGGAACTACTGGGAAATACCAGGGAAAAACGGGAAATACTTGTATGCATGCCATTGAAATTGTGTAATATAAAATAGCAAACATAGCAATCTGACCATTAAACACTTTTAAAATGTTTCTTGGTTGTTATTTTCAATAACTGTATGGGTTTATTAGATTGCTAGTTTGGATACACTATTCATATTTTAAACACAAATTCAAGTTATGTTGCATCACCTTCTCTTGTTGGTTTCCCATAAACTGTCAATTTCCTGTCGCTATATACATGTACATGAGTGAATACCATATCATATAGAAAGAAAATTTGCTAATTTGAAATGTTATAAATCAACATGCAATGAAATATGAATTATGGAAAAGTACATAAATGTGAATGGTCAGGCTCCTTTTACAATGGCCCCATCCAAATTGTTGTATGCTGCATGAATGTTTACAAGCTGTTAAAATCAAATGCCCATCTTTGACATAATACACAGTAGTGTAAGGGATGGACCTCTATAGCATTGGTAGATTAGGGGCAAGGAGGCACAATGGCCTGTGCCCCCCCCCCCCCCGAAATTTAAATGACATACAAAGGTACATGAAATGAAATGAAATTGTATGTGAAATAGCAAACTGCAATCTAACTAAATTTTATCAAAAAATCAAACACCCATCTTTGATGAAGACACACACATTACTATAAGGGAGGCAGGGACTTCTATAGCATTGGTAGATTAGGGGGAAGGAGGAGCAATGGCCCATACAAAAGTGCACAAACCACAACATGTACCCCCCCCCCCCTGCCTTTTAAAAAATATTTTAGAACCCATAAAAGGTACCTAAATAATGTGCTTTTAATTATCGGTCTTGTTGTTGTTGTTGTTGTTGTTGTTGTTGTTGTTGTTGTAATTATTATAGAAGTCATTTACTGAAGACCAACCCTTTCCCATGTATACAAAGTAGGGCTTGGCATTATCATGTCCCTTTGCTCAATAGGACGGACATATACATTTAGGACAATTGCTATGTATACACACAAATCCAGAAGTGCCTCTTTGAGTGATTGCCTAGAATGGAAAACTGAAATGATGCGATTTTATTATTATTCTTCTTATTGTTGTTGTTGTTATTGTTGTTGTAGTTGTGTTTATTATTATTATTAATGTTATTACTATTATAATCATCATTATATTACAATTATTATTATTTTATTATTATTTTTATTATCATTAGTTTTATTATTATTATTATCAAGGGATGCTGATTATTCTTTAGGATGGATTTTGCCTTTTCTATTATCCTATTTTGACATGATCTCTAAATTGTAATTCTTGTTCTATTATCTTCTCGGCCTGTCTGTCTGTCCTCACCATTCATAATGGACAATTCATGTCCTGAATACTTGAATATTACCAGGACGTGTACACTTAACATGTTTATTTCAAGAATTCCAATGAATTCCAATGCAGTCATATATTTCTCATAAAGAAGATTTGTTGAAAGTTAATTGAATTGAATTTGAATGACTTCGAAAAGTCAAAACTATATTTCCCACTGCCCATTTCAATAGCTTCAACATACCCATTCATCATTCAAACATTTGTATGACCCCCTACCTATCATTGAATCACTGATTTCATTGTTTTTTGTGTTTGATAATGATTCTTGCCCAATAATCTAAACGTCCTAAGAGTTTTTAATTATTTAAAATATTGTTTTTTGAGTATTTCCACGGTATTCCCCAGTATTTCCTGTTTTTGTCACATTTTGCTGGGCAACCCTGACACAATATCAACTATTGAATAACAATTGTGCGATGCATATACTCTTTTTTCTTTCATTCAATAGACGAGAGGGAGCACACATTGGAACAGTGGAAAGGTAAGCTTCATTATTCATATTCGGAATCAAGAAAAAAGCGTGATATGCTCATGCTTGGTTTTCAGGCTTTTGAGCACAATATCAAGTATTGGATAACAATTCTCACTATTACCAATACCCCAAAATGCTCAGGTGTAGTTCGACTCTTCAATGTAATTTTGAGCCACTTACGGGACTGACACTGTACGGTGCATGGGTGCGGCGCGCAGGCGTTTCATGTATTATGCATGTGCAATATACGTATCTGAAAGCTATTTCTAGACTCCTCTCTTGACTGCTGCTACTGACTTCCTTGGATTTGTATACAAGTCCATGATAGTTCCAGAATGCATGTCCATCATTTCGTAATTGTTGCCGCTAACAGAGTCGCAATCGTGCAGTTATTTTGAAATTGTCTTGCCTTCGGAGCAAAATTTTTCCAAGATGCAGGCTGTGCAAAGTATCTTTGGATTTTCTCTCTTCTAGGGATATCTCTGAACGTTTTTTCATTTATTTTCTTGCGACCAGCACACAACAGATTCATAGTATCGCACTATATATTACAACCGACTATTCAGTTTATACAAAATACTTACCATATCCTATTAAAAAACCAAAGACGAGGTGAAAGGTACCACTAACCAACTATTGCAATGCATATAGACAGATAGGCGGTGACTATAAGCTGGCCCCGCTGTAGCGCCGCACTGTGCCACACTGGCCGAGACCAGATGAGCACGATACAGCCGCATGAAGTAGACCGGAAGCGACTAAGGCTGCGTTTATGCTTGATTGTGAAGGTAGAATGAGCGATCTGAAACGCACATCGTAAACGCTCATCGTAATCGCAGTTCCACGGTGTACTGTTTATGCTCACTTCTCTGGCTCCTCCAGGCAATTCTCCCTGTGTGGCCTTAATTGGCCTTGCAGCTGGATTCGCAACCTGCACTGTGCATGCTACGTAGACCCACTAGAGGTCAGTGCGTTGACCCCATTTAAAGGCGTTTACAAATTGTAAACGCATCTTTTTGTGAGTTTACGATCAGCGATCGTGATCGCCGTTTTTCGGTGATTCTACAAAAGTGAGCATTGACGCAACCGTGTTTTAAACTAAACGCGTAACAGATGCCTGATTCTGGCCAGAAAAGGTTAAGCATAAACACGCCCTTAGTCAACAAGCTTTCCCAAAGTACATTTGAAACAGGGGCATGAAATTGACATCATGGCATTTGGGGGTATAAACGAGAATTGTGCAGTGCATACACACTTTTTTCTTTCTTGCTATATAAAAAGACCAGCTGTTTGTTTGTTGGTTTTTGTTGTTGTTGTTGTTGTTGTTGTTGTTTTTTTTTTTGGGGGGGGGGGTCATTTCGATAGTGTTTTTCATTGAAACCTAGTTATTGCGCTTTACAAATGAATATTATTATTATTATTAAACCTGTAGGAAAGGTTTAAGGCACCTTAAAGAATAACCTACAATATGTACTTAGTTTTGTGAGAGAGCCAGGAGGGTGTAATCTACATATCTCTTTAGAAGTGGAGAGGTGTATCTGTGATGTCTTTCTGTTTTCATTCTATTGTTCAAAAAAGATGATGAATGTTCCCTACCAATCAAAACACATTACCGGTAGACCAAATGGGAATTAACCCTTCTCAATACAGTTCTTCCAGACATATCCCCACAATCCTTCAGCAAAGAGAATACAAGGCATGTGTAGATGATGCATTTTGGTAGATCATATAGAAGAGTAACGTACACAGTCCAACATAGTCTGCTGAGAGCCAGAAGGGTGTCATCTAGGGGTACCAGGGGGGTGTTTCACAAAGATCCTAAGTCAAACTTAACTCTCAAGTTGGACTTCAAACTTATGGAGAGCCATTTGTAGCCTTAAAATACAATATATTCAAAAAGCAAAAATACAAGTATTTTAGACTTTTCATAAATTCCTCATCAAGAACATGAAATATCCTTGATAATAGAAAATATGAATGATTTAATTCAACATGTTATGCCTTGTAAAATAAATTTAACAAAATATTTTCAAAGATGCTAACGGCTTTCCATAATTGTTTCGTCCAAATTAAAGATAAGTTCAACTTCAGATCTTTGTGAAACACCCCACAGTTTAGATAGTTATCTGTGACGACTTTCTCTTTCGTTCCATTTCACAGAGCTGATGTTCAAAGAGGTGATGAATGCGATGTACCAGTCCAACTCTATAATCCTGGATCCTGTGAATGATCTGATGTCAAAAGAGAATGGGCATGAGGAGCAGCACCATCTAGGTATGTATTTCACCATCATCATCATCATCATCATCACCTACGTTAACATCATCAGCATCATTGTCATCATCAATATCATTATCATCATCATCATCATCATCATCTTCATCTTCATCATTATCATCATCATCATCATCATTATCATCATCATCAATATATATTATTGTCATCATAATAAACAACATTACCATCATCATCATCATCATCATCATCATCATCATCATCATCATCATCATCATCATCATCATTGTCATCATAATAAACAACATTACCATCATCATCATCATCATCATCATCATCATCATCATCATCATCATCATCATCATTGTCATCATGATAAACAACATTATCATTATCACTATCATCATTGTCTTCATAATAATTGTCATCATCATCTTCATATTAAATGACATGATCATTATCACTATCATCATTATTATCACCATCATCAATAGCATCATCATACATTACCATCACTTTCATCAATTACATGAACTTTTATTTTCTTGGTTATTGATGATAGAATAGATTTTTTTCCATACAGGGGTTGTATAGAAACATATTTCCAATAAATGTAGGTAGACCTACTTGCTTGCCAATATATATATCTTATGGTATCCCATATAAAACACATTATTAAATTGTGTCTTTGGAAATATGGTTTTTATGACAGTTAATGCGATTCAACTTTGACAGTTACTTAATGGTTTCCCATATAAAACACATTATTGAATTGTGTCTTTGAAAATACGGTTTTTATGACAGTTAATGGGATTCAACTTTGACAGTTACTTGACAGTTTAAACAATCTCGATCTTTATCAGTAACATTTGTAAAAGGCATGCTTTTTATATCCTCTCTCTCCCTCTTTCTCTCCTTCCAAATCTCCTTTATATCTCTACCCCCCCCCCCCATCCATATCATAGACCATAGACAAGGACAACAACAACAACAACAAGGACAAGGCAGGAATTCAAGTAGTAGAAGCTACCTCAAAGGTCACACCCACTGCGACCAGGGGGAGGAGCTTCAAGGAGCCACCTCAGGGGCAGGCCCCGCCCCCATGGCAGCCGCAGCAGCAACAGCAGGAGCCGTCTCGAAGAGGTAGCCAGGAATGACCTTTCACCTTTGACCTAGGACCGAAGCCATTGCCACAACCCCTCCATGTAACTCTCAAAAACTCTCTGTTGTTACGCTCCGTTGTTACGCTATCTGTCACTCCGCGAGAGCACCAGATGTTTAAACATGGATTGTCGTTCATTTTATTTTGATTCTCTTAATATTCCTGCCTTTTCCTCACAGGTAGTGTAATGCGTGGATGAATATTGCACTATTCTGATGCTAGCCAGCGATGGAATTATAAAATGTGCTCTATGCTTAGTGCATAACAGTGCTATACACCTGAGTATCTTCTGGTTCAAAGCTGGCTTAACTATGTAGCTCAAGCCATATTATAAATAATAATGAAATAAAATGCTTATTAAGCTCACTTTGCATGGGTAGAAAGATGCTTGAGTTTCTTACCACGGGAGTGGGAGACTCGTCAACTCTTAAGTTTTGGCCTCTGTAAGTTTGGATAAATTTTAATCACACAAAGTCACATGTTCAAAACCTAGACTTCATTGTATTTGTTAGATGGCTAGAGATGTAAAACGGTTCCTCAGACATTGATGCACATGATATATACACCTCTCTGAAACGCCAATTTATCATCAAAACCTACTGAAATAAACTGAATGGGAAAAAGATATGCTGAGAAGCAGAAGAGTGTTGATTCATATTCCTTAGCATTGGGTTATACTTATTGCCCTTTGGTTTTCAGCGGACAAAAAGACATTACAAAGAAGACAAAACTCCTTGGGAAACTTAAAAATTACTTTTCGACCAAGGTGTATCCATTCCTAAAATCTTCTGAAGAGCTTATAACTTCATCAAGTATTTTTCTTATGAAATGAACTTTTTTTAATAAGATTTAGGATTAGGAGTGAAAGCTTTTTCACAGGTTCACATTAATGTCTCCATGTGTCGAGATGGTTAAAAACCATCCTTTATTTCGCCTCCCCCTGTAACGTCCCCTTTTTAGTATGACCTGCTAGCAGCAATGGCTCAGTGGTAGAGCAATGTGTCTTGTCATCAGAAGGTCCCAGGTTCGATGTGGTAGTGCCCTTTGGTAAGGCACTAATCCTCATCACCAAATCCTTTGTAAAGGTTTGTAAAGCCATAAGCTCCTTTCGTCGCTTACCTACAAGCATAAACTTGCTTTCTGAGCAGTCAGGTTAAATGAATCGGTAAGCACAGTGATTAATTTAGTAAACGTGAGCTGTTCTTTTTTTGTAATAGCGCTGGCTAATATCTCGCATTGCAACATGTATTTGACTGTATTTAATGAATGAATAAGTTGACTGAAATTCTTTTCTTAGCACTGAAAGCAAACTTTCTGAGGTGCCTTTTTTACATTAACATGAGGGGTTCGTGGAAGAAGGTCGTAGGCAAAGACTGTCATTGTAAGGTCCAACAGCATGGTCTCCGTTAAATCCGTAACACCTTTCTGTTTTTCTTATTTTCATTGCTACAGAGTCGTTTGGAATCCTTGCTACTTTTGCAAAAGTAGCATCTATGTTTACAATATCATGTACTAATGAAAAAGGAAGAAGAAATAGGAGATATATATATCTCTCAATTGATATAAGAATTGCTGTTCTAAAGTTGTATGTATACAAGAGAAGTAATAACTATTATTATGCTATAAGAGTAAAAACTAGAAAGCTTTGTAAATATTGTTGATAGAGAAAAGAAAGGGGAAAGCTAAGTGTGCGTAAAGTCTTCGATAGTGAATAAAAAAATGCTAAACTGCCGGGTGGAAAATTGCCAAGGGGCTTGATGTTGCAAAGTGTGTAAATGTGACAAGTTTTGTCTGTTTTTTATTTTTATTTTTAAGTTATGCATTGATGTTGTCATGGAGAGCGAAAAAAAGAAATTATAGAAATCATGATGTACTTGTTTAAAATGCGTCGGGTTGCACCCGTTATATGGTGTTTATCTTTGATCATAGGTAAGTTACTCTGGCGTGAATCGAAAAAATATATGGAATTTGAATTTCAATTTTTATAAGTCAATACAAATTGGGATAATCATAGTTTGATACATTGTTCAATTTTTTGGAGACTATGTTCCCCAGGGTTTTTTTCATCCATTAAAATTGGAGGAAAAAAAACACTTTTAAGATGCACAAAAGGAACTTGAATCATTCAACAACTATTGAAAACTCTCCCATCATCATCATCATCATGATTATCGTTCAGACAATAATCATGAGAATGGTTCTGCTACAGCAGGCTTGTAGTATTAAAGTAGCGCCAAGCATTTTGAACTCTCCATTATCGCTTGTGACAAGGGTATGCATTCACACTGTGTGAGCGAATGCATTCACACCGTGTAATTAACAAGCAGGGGGGGAATATGTTTGTACTACGATTTTTTGTCTAGGTTGTATATATATCTGTTTTATGTGAATGTCTACTCTTTGTCCTGTGTGAAGTCATGAGGCCTGTTCCCACTTCTCCTTGACGCTGTGCTGCCAAGCATGAATGTAAACAGCCCCATGCCAATAGCATTCCATAAAGTCACCACAGCGACACAGCCATTTATAAAACCGCCAATGTCACGTTAGTTTAGCCATGTGTGAATGACCATCCATTCCTCAAGGTAGGATTGTTGTTGTGGTTATCTATATCAATATTTCCGAGAAAGAATGTTTTAGTACCAGCCAATAACATCACTCCAAGGTTTGTTTGTTTTTTAAAATTGAAAAGTGAAGTAAAATGATGGTTCTGATAGTACACATGGCTTTTAGGTCAAGTTCATATTCCAAGCCATTAGGAACTTTGTACAGGGGACACATTTTCCCTCCAGTTGGAGTCATGTTTGATGATATCCACAGTGCTCCTTTTAAAGCTTATTTCTACTAAAGGGTTTAAATTGAGATTTTTCCAACAAATGAAAATCAACATCACTCTGCTAGTAATCCCTCACTCTTAATTGTTCATGATTTAAGGTTGTCTTTTTTTCCCTCAGACTTCACCAATGCTCTTCTTTATGCCAGTCAGTGCTTGGATTCTGAGAGTAACCTTGTACATGAAATCTTGCTTGGCAGCTCAGCGTCAAAGAAAAATGGGAAAAAACTCTATGATTATACCCTTGAGTTTAGCTATTGAAATTCATATCATACAATGTTTTCTTGTGGAAACTGGAAAGAAAAAAATATCTATGAATATTCTGTACAAAATTATCTCCATTGTGAATAGGTTTTGTGTATGTATAAACAGATTTTTTGCCTCTTGTATGGGCAAGATTTTTGCGTTGAGGTTTGAAAAGGATGAAAAATTACAAAAATAAAGAGGTGTGTTGCTTCATATCAACGTATTCTTTATCATTTCTATAGAGTGTTAAGATTGTAGGAATCCCAGTACATAAGAAATACAGAAAAGAAAAATGAAAGTATGATTATAATTATTATTATTATGATAGTGGTAAAATTGTGAATATTTGAACCTACAAAAAAAATCGAATGTTTTGTGAATGTGAAAAATTGAAATGCAGAGAGGTTATGCATTATTTTAATGAAAACCTAAATTTATTTTTATTTCTTGTTTTGAAATTTGAAAATAGATGCCTTTTTCTTGTTTGCGTTTGGAGGTGAAGCAAGAATAGAAGGCCTTTTTGGTATCAAAATACAGTCATAATAAATCAACTTTATCCAGGTTTATAAAGAAAATTCCAGGGAAATTTAAGTAATCCATGATATATGGGTGCATGCTGGTTTATTTTTCACCCGTCACAGACACATGTAATTCAGTCTCATTCTTGCTTCATCTCTGAACATTTGTATCAAATGTACTTAATTTGATATCTTTCTTACTCTCTCTATATCTAACTTTCTCATTCTTTAATTTTCTCTTTCTACCATCTTCTTTGACTTTATAACATTCTTTATTGCTCAATATACGTTTCCTCTAAATTTTGTCTTTATTTTCCAAGGTTTTATTTTCCTTGTAAAAGTAAGTCTTTAATCATGTAAAAAGAAACAAGATTTTTTTCTCCATAATTTATTGGTCATATGTGAAATACTGTTTACGTGGTGTCCCTCATAATGTTCAAATAAAATTCAGTTACAAGAAAAAATGTTCTCATTCTGGCTGTTTTTTAATATATTTATTTTGTTTGTTTGCGACACTTGCAAGACTTTTGTTGATTCATCACTAGGATAAAGATGTACCGAGTAATAATATGGCATAATGATTATTAATTATTTGCCATGTGATGATTCGTGATTGGTTGATCAATCAGTTGATTGAATAATCGATTGGCTGATTGATAGATTGATTGGTGGATTGATGGATTTATAGATTGGTTTATTGAATGATTAGTTGGCTGGTTGATTGTTTGATGGATTTATAGACTGACTAATTGATTGATTGATTGACTTATTGATTGATTTGATGTGATAGAACTATTGATTGATCGATTGACTAATTGAGCAAATGAATGATTGATTAATTGATTGTTTTGATTTTTTTTTCATTTGATTGATTTATTGACTGATAAATTGCTCTGATTAGATTTGATTTGAACTATTTATTTCCTGATGGATTGATTGATTAAAATAGCGAGCTCAGTAAACTGGCGTTTCTTCTTATGATTTGCCGCGACACATAGGATTACCCGGCCTGTAAGTTTAATTGAGCTTCAACTTCAAGATTCCTCTGAAATAATACCACGTCTTTTGAGACCTGTATCATACCATGAATGATTATTATATAAACCTATGTTTTTCCAACAACGTTCTATTTTTGTTGATGAATCAGGCAGCACTTGCTGGAAATAAAGAAGCAGGTAAATTGTGGTGAGCAAAAGCGACACCACATCAAAGACGAGAATTAGTTTATGACGAAGTAGTTAACCAAAATGGTGTCATATTCGACGGGGAAGGCCGCCAGTCGTTTACCGCACAAAATGATGATTGTAATGTTTGTTTCATGACAATCGATATCACTAAAAAATAATAATTGTTATCGGATTTGTTGTTTAGGTTACCTTCGTATCTGATTACAATTGTGCCCCAAATAAGAGCTATATTGTGGTAGCTTAATCTCCTCAACCCCCCCCCCCACCCTCCGTTTCATCCTTGCTCCACAAATAGATTAAGAAACGCCCTTTTTAATATAGAGTAAAATGAATCAAAATTATATTTTATTTTCCATATAATGACATTCTACAAAAAGGAAAGGTTGAAAGTGCTTGACTCCCCCCCCCCCCCGCACTTGGCTACGCCAATGATGGCATGGAAACACCCGTAGTGCCCCCATCTACCTTGATATTACCACGGACTAGATGATTCCCTGAACAGAGGGCTGTGCACTAGGGTAGAAGAACAACTGCTTTTTCTTTTTTGGAGATATTCGTCATGGGTGTCCCCCTGGGAATGATTGGGCGAATCCCCCTTCCTCTTTCTCTCTCCCCCCCCCCCCCACACACACACACAAAATAAAATCCCTCCCTCTTTCTTGCTCTCTCTCTCTCTCTCTCTCTCTCTCCCCCTCTTTTTCTGATTTTCTGTCTTTTTGTCTGTCTCTCTGTCTATCTCACTCCACTTTCTCTCTCTCTCTCTCTCTCTCTCTCTCTCTCTCTCTCTCTCTCTCTCCTTCTCTCTACTATCTATCAACTAAATCTGCTTCAGAAAACTGAACTATACATAGAGAGAGAGAGAGAGAGAGAGAGAGAGAGAGAGAGAGAGAGAGAGAGAGAGAATCGTGTTCACCTGAAGAGCGATGAAGAGAGGGAGAGACATAGATGAAAATACAGACAGAGAGAGGCAGAGAGAAATAAAGAGCCGACCAGTACGTGAAGGGTTGTTCCTATATTTCGTAACTAATCTTTCTTTTTGGTCAAATAAACTTATTTTGGGCAATGACGTTATGAGTGACTCAAATCCCTCTGTCTGAATAGGACCAGCTGGAGATTGGAAGGTAGAAACAATGATTTCATCTTTGGGGAAATGGAAAACGACAAACTGCATCATATCCTTCATGTATCATCTTTATGTTTATACCGCTTGCCCAGTCTCACCTCCTGTCTCCACCTGTCCATATTGATACATGTACATGTCTGTTTGTCTTCATTGTTTTACCTTGTCTCTCATTGTTTTGTTCTGTCCTTTCTCTCTTTCTCTCTGTCTCTCGGATTGTCTTGTCACTGTCTTTTCAATCTATTAAGTGATCTCTAGTATTGCACTCTTTATCCCCTCCCTCTTCTTATTTTTCTTTCTCTTTCTCTCTCTCTCTCTCTCTCTCTCTCTCTCTGTGTGTCTCTCTATCGCTTTCCAGTCTTTATATCTCTTTCTCGCTAAACTTTTTAATGTCACCCTTTCATCCCTCCATCAAATCTCCTTCTCTATCTTTCACCCCTCCCCCCCTCTCTCTCTCTCTCTCTCCTGTTATTTCTTCCTCTACTTCTCGTCGTCTTCATCATCGTCCACCTCCTCCTCCCTCTCTTGATCCCCTCTTTCTTTCTTTCTTTCTTTATAGCCCAGACTGCAGCCTAGCTTTACGGACACCCCTGGATGAACTCCTACGCAGTTTAAAGAACTCGGACGCGCAGACCGCAGAAAACTCTCCCTCAATCGGCACAATCCTCACGACGAAACCGACAAATCCAAGCCCGTCTGGAATAGTCTATTTATTTCCAATTCCGTGAGTCAGAGGCATGAATATCGGAAAAGCCTACCGACTTGAGTTAACAATGCTGCCCTTTTACGTAATAGACTACGTCGAGTGAATGGACAGGAAATAACAAGGAAAAGAAGAATTGAGTCACATCATTGGTCATTGTAGAACACAGACATACCTTACAGTCGACGCGCCATCCATGTACACTGGCGTAGCCACGAAGAGGGGGGGGGGGGGGGTAGCTTGGGGCACACACCCAAACAAATTACCAGTGCCTCCACAACCTTTCATTGTCCCCCTTTCATCACCCCTCCATCGATTCTCTTTTCTCTATCTTTCGCTTCTCCAGCTGCCCCGCCTCTATCTCAACGAATTTTCTGAGACAATGCTAAAAGGTTTGTTTGTAAATATACATTATATAAAGTATTGCTCGCCTAACACTTCAATTTTGTATATGTATATTTGTGTAATCTATTATACGTATATGTCTTGGATCACTCATACACACGCAACCAGCCCTGCGCGTCAACTCTGTGACTCAATGCTTGAGTAGCTCTTTAACACTGATTTGCAGTTTACTTAATTAATTAGGAAAGCGCTTAAATAATCGTAATTAACTTTGCGGTTTTTGTATTTCTGCTTATGGAGAAAGACTGAAGTTATATATACCACACCAACCTCTGAGTAAACTAACGCTGATTAAGCAAAAATGATACAAGGAAATGTGTAATATTCGCATTTGTGTTTGTGATGTATTTATTTATTTATTTATTTATTTAATTCTGATATTTAGACAGGGGGACTCATTATCACCAATAATGGTGGTCTTCCATGAGGCCCTGTTAAACATAATGAGGTACATTATAGTTTAACAAATATATATTTGATAATAACATTAACAATAAGAAATAAACAATAAGTAAGAACATGTTTAAACATATATACAAAGTATTTGGTATCCTCATAATAAAAGAATGGTTTGTTTGTTTTGTTTTACTTTGCTTTTCGTTCAAGAAAACGTTGTTGCATAGTTATAGTATTTTAATTTAATATTATTGCATAGACAGTAATTAGTTTTCAAATCCAATGAAAAGTAACTATTAGCATGTACACCTTACTCTGAGGCTGCAATTGCAGTTGAAAACTGAAACCACGAAGACCAGCTTCTCATTTTAATCATGATTATTACCATGATCAAATTATTTCAACTTGTTATATTCTTTAGATATAGTACACGTATGTTTAACAATCATTGCCATCGTCATCAATCATTATCATCATCATCATCATCAACAACACCGTCATTCTTGTCATTTTTACAGACTTCATCATTGTCGTCGTCATCGTTGCCACCACAGTCATCATGCTCAATGCGTTAACGTGGTCAAGATTCTCCCTCCCTCCCTCCCTCCCTCCCTCCCTCCCTCCCTCCCTCCCTCTCTCTTTCTCTCTCTCCCTCTCCCTCTCTCTCTTTCCTTCTCCCTCTATCTCCTTCTCTCTCTCTGTCTGTCTCTCTGTCTCTCTCTCCCTCCCTCTCCCTCTCTCTATTTCCTTCTCTCTCCTTCTCTCTCTCCCCTCTCTCTATCTCTCTCTCTCATTCTCGCTATCGCAATGGCTGTACACTTAGTTAGTCTCTCTCTCTCTCTCTCTCTCTTTATTCTTCTAATTTCATTTTACTTTCACATATTTAACACGCATTGTACGCTCATTGATCAATTTATTCATAAAACAAACATCAAAATGTTCTTCATTCTAAGTAACTCATTTTATTGTACAGGAAATAAAATAGAAGTTTACAAGGGTCTATATATTTTACAATTTTTCTTAAATTTGTATATACATGTATAGAATTTTGAAATATTATAAATGATATCCATTTTATTCTCATTTAAGGCAATGATACTGTGTTCCTCATATTTACATTTTATACAAATTATCAAAATTGTGTTATCGTTCTATCAACAATAACCATACTTATAAAATATATAATTTACAATGTATATTTTCACATTTTGCAAGTATCATTTTGAAAGTTTTTTTGTTTGTTTTACTTTATAATTTACAACATCAAGGAGTCCAAATCAATATACAACATACATTACATGATTAACAAACAAACAAGAAAAACATTCGTAAAGTTGGTGTTTCGTGGTATGCACACATTTCCTTTTCGAATTTTGGTTTATTCATAATAGACCTTGCAGCTATCTCAAATGTATAGTTTCTTTGTATAAATCTCAATAAATATCAATTGAAACAATAATGATACAATCGACGTTGGTTTACATCAAATGTCATTACATCCTTTGCAGTATTACATAAATCTAACTAGTCATGTGACCAAAAATCTTATATTCTAATATCAAGCTAATGTAGTGGAAAGTGACGGAGGGAGGGGGAGGGGGGGGGGTACATCATCCGACAATTAAGCATGATAAGATATGCACCCTCCCTTTTGTGTGCCCCACCCCCCCCCCCCCCCTAAATCAGCCCCATGGTACGTACAAGCATGATTCGACCTTAAAACTTATAATTATAATGGGGAGTGATGGGGAGGGGGTGCCGCGTTGAACAACAAGTCTAATATGACCCCCCCCCCTTCGCCACCTGTCCTTGTGCCCTACCCCCCCTCCCCCTTCCCCTCCCCTTCCCTGAATCCGCCCGTGGTGCGTACAACTTGATCCGACCTTCACGAAACCACGGTATGAATCACTTGACAGGAGATCATCTAAAAAGAGACATGCACGATCAAACATCTAGAACGAAAATGACAGTTATGTTAAACATCACGTCCTTACGGTCTTATCCCCTTTATCCTACCCCATCTTATCCCTTCCTTCCCCCTCCTAGAAACCCCCATGCACCCTAATATTAGCACTAATCCCCCTTCCTTCACATTTCTTAGTAGATGCTTAATCCGTTCCTGACAGAAAGGCGCTAACGACACTCCCGAAATAACAAGTAGAAAGTGCATGTCATCGTCTTAAAAGTTACTTAATCTTATGATAATAAAATTATGTATTTAAAGACGAGATATTAAGGGGGTATGTGAAAAGCCCCAAACTGAGGAATGTCGCTCAAAACATTTTGGATGTTAAGGGGGATGACGGACTAATTTTAATGACATGTACGCCTACAATTATCAAAGATGAAAAGGAAAGAAGTCGTAATGTTGTTTCTGTACATGCTTTTTCCAATAAGGGGGAAACATATCCAGATATGCCGATAGCATTTACGGATTTATCGACGGAGAGTTTGACTCCCCTTTTATTCTAGCGACGCCCCTGTCCCGATGCCTGAAGTCTATCACTCTGTCATTTGGCTTCAAGTTGACGTTGTATGACAAGGGAATACCATGTCAGAACAGGTGACCATCAACCCGCAATGTCAAGATAGTTCTTACCAAGCACACCCCGAGCAAGGTTTGGCAATTTTGGTTTGTCATTTCTGCCCACCGATTTCTTTATAAAGTACAAAGAGAAACACGTGGTGTAGCCTATACAGATCAGTGACTCACTTTAAAAACCCCACCGAATTTCTTTTAAGTGGTTAGAGTTATAAAATGCAGGCCTCAAAGTGTAACACTTGCCAAACTTCACCGCTTAAATCTTTATCTCTTCTCATCTCGCTTTCTCATCTCCCTTCCTTCCACGGCTCCAACAAAGAATCCCCCTCTCGAACCTCCCTTCCAAAAGAATTTCCCCCGGTTCTTCGATTTGGAGACACCGTAAACTGGCAGACGGTGAAAAACGAGCTGATATAAATATCCCTCATGGAACTTCAAATAATGGGAAATAGTTGTAAATTCATGCAGTTTTGTAGAAGAGGGTTCCCCAATGTCTTCAAGTGAATATCCAAATTATTTTGAAGCGATGACTTTAAATAATACTGTATTTTTGCAGAAAGGCCACATATAAATCAAACTTCTGATCATGATTACCGGTATGCGTTATTATTAGGCTGCAACTACTACTATTACTTCTACTACTCATAATATCACCATTAATTCTGCTACTACTACTACTACTACTACTACTACTACTACTACTACTACTACTACTACTACTACTACTACTACTTATACTACTACTACTACTACTACTACGACTACTACTACTACTACTACTACTTCTACTACTACTACTACTACTACTACTACTACTACTAGATGTCTACTGAATCTTTGCTCGGGGTCCAAGTTGAGATCAAGTCCTGATATTGTCCGTATTTGCTTCAGAACAGGGTCACCAATAAGTACATTAATTTGGGGCACATCGGTTGAGGTACTTCAGTTCAATATAAAGTTGCTTGCTCTAAGTTTGGTATGATATTTTTCCTGCTTGCTATAGGATTGGACCACCATTATGTCACTTGATCAGACACGTATATTGCAGCAGTGGGTTCTCCGATTTAACTTAAGGGTCTTGGGGATGATTTGGCCATCACTTTACCAGAAGTTTCTTGACCGGAAGTCCAAGGTAAGACTATCTATTTGAGAGACATCGTCGTAGATACTCAAGCTCAATGTGAAGTTGCTGGTTTTCTCCTTCTGCGTTCAGACGTGCAGACTCCTACAGAAAATGAAGAAGAAAAAAAGAAGGAAAAAACAAAACAATTAAGATATTGGAATATGTATATTATGACGAAATTGACGACACAAAAGTATGAGCACTTCAAGCGCACGCTTACGCTGCAGCCCTTCTGCATTTTGCTATGTCGTTCCCAACATTTTGTTGCATTAATTGTGATTCATTTTGACTTGAACAAATATTACCACTATGTACAAAATTGTCATACTTTTACTGATCATTATTGTATGAAAAGGGAGAAGTCAATAAATCATATCAAATATGATATAATAGCAATCGCAGAATGATGATCCATGATGGTACTATTTTATCCAGCTTAACGAATTATAACATCGTAACACATATCCATTCTATAGTATTATGATAATGATTATAACAATGACGGGGATACTCATTTATTTACGGGATGAATAATATTTGCATAATATATTGATAATAAATGTCCATGCCCCATAACCATGCTGGATAATGGAAATATATTACTTTTGTACATTCAAAGAGGCAACATTTTATAAAGATGAATATCATGATCAAAGTCTAAGAACGTACAACAAAGTAGACCCATTTGCTGAAATTAGCCTCGCGGCTGTCAACGAATTCCCCCCCCCCCCCCTCCAGGATGAGTAGTTTTCTGGTTCACATGAATGATTACAAAACGTAATTATATTCACTGAACTTGAAAAAGGTCTGTTTTCATTTCAAATGACTTTTAAGAAACTCTATTTTAAAAGTGACTCGATGATTGAGTTTGGCGGCGAACAGAAATCATGGTCTCGTTAATTCGATTTGATGGAACAATGCAATATGGGGGCGACCTCCTCTATATATGTCATTTTTTTTCTTCAAATGGCCCCTTTTATTGGGGCGTATAATATACTGATGTCTGGTGACTCAGAGTGGGGTCCCCCTACCTCCTTCCAGGGTTGGGGCTGAACTCGATATCATCATTTCATTCTGTTGAGAGTTAAAGGGGCATTCATCCTTTGTTAAGGCCTTTCTGACTATGTGGGTCATCACGTGACACGACGTACGTAGACTTGGCGTATTAGGGACTTTTAGATTCTGCACGACGAGGACGTGGACTGCCCTTTTAAGGCAATGTGACGTCACTGCCAGTGTCTTAAAAGGACGTCACATTGCCTTAAAAGGGCAGTCCACGTTCTCGTCGTGCAGAATCTAAAAGTCCCTATTACTATGATTCTGAGTTCGTTAATATACATAGGGCATTGGTTCTTGGTTTGTTGGTCAGATGGACCACTGTACCAGGGAACATGACACATTCCTGGGGCGTAACTAAACATCATAACGTTCTGCGGAGGTGGGGCGTATGCTCCACTGTATATGTCCGGTGAAAAAACCAAGGGGTTCGTCATTAATGTGCATGTTTTCAAATGATAAACCCATATTAACATGTTGTTTAGTGGTTATATCAGAGGAAAACATACATCCATAACTGCACATATGGGAATTATTATTTTGGAATCAAGTGCATTCTGATTTGCAAATTTTCTTTAGAACACGATCGTCAGACTTCCAAAATATCCACGTTAGGCAGTTTCAATAGCCTTGTGTATCACTAATTATCCAAACGTAAGAACGTGAAATTACATATTCCGCATATGCTCTGTAACGTTACGATTTTCCTCACTACCGTCACTTCGTGAAAACAAGGACGGACTATATGCAATGCAATGTGATGTGGAAATTGCCCTTAATATACCAATCACCATAATATATTTTGTTCTGTATGTCAGTAGTTCCATTACATGTGGTAATACTATATTCAAAATAAGATTTTCAAATATTATTTCTGAAAAGCAATTTTGCCAGTTAAAATACACTCTCGATACATAAAAGCGACTTGTCCCTTGTGAGCGTAATGGCGTACCTGTACATTTTATTCTATATTTCTTTATACTCCTAATCCGTTAGCCAATACAATACACTACGATTTTTTAAGGATTATTTCACCCATTTTAGCTGTAAATAAATAATTATTTTAGGTGATTTGTACACTATATTTCTCGAGAGTCTATGCGATCGTATGTTACGTAATACGCGACAGGCATATAATCGCAATAAATAAAAAAGTTTCCTGGAAGGGTGTGATCAAAATGATGAACCACTAAGAGCAGTGGATGTATTATAATGGTTCGCAGATGTCATACTTTGGCGCTTCGGGATCAACACGTCGGGTCGCAGATATTGATGAGTGGGGAATTGAACCTCAAACACGCAGAGCCAGGCGCAGAGGAACAAAGAAAGGTGCCCGAAGAAAACAAAAGCAGGAGAAAGGAATGACTCGATATGGACTCGGTGAAACAGGGGAAATCAAGAGAGAGAGTTGCATCATGCGATTGTTTTGATTGAATTACGATGACTTTTTAAAGTGTTTATTAAATGATGAATACACACTTTGTAATGGGGGTTCCCACTATACGCAGGAACTCCCTGCACTACGGTGACAAAGTAACTTCCGCTTACGTAACTGTCCCTACACATCCGCTCTGGTCGCACCTCCCCAAGACGTGTCATCTTCACCTATAAGTGACAAGCAGTAGCTGTACTGCATTGTGATGAGATACTGTTGGTATGTGTTGGGGTGGGGTGGTGTGGGGATGGAGGGTGGGGGGGGGGGTGGGGGTGGCAAACAGATATGAAATAAGCCTAAACTGACACTGTAATGAATTGGTATATAGATCTACTAAATGGATTTCAAATGTTCATTTAAGACCAAGATCAACCAAACAACCACTAGGAGGCGAGTTGGCTCAGTCGGTTAAGCATCTGCCTGTCGAACCAAAGATCTCGGGTACGAATCCCACCCAGGCGAATGACTGAAGCCTGCGTTGTGTGTTAACGGCCCCTCCCCCGCGTTTCATAGACGCAGGCTATGTTAAGTGGAAAACACTCCGTCCCTCAGATAGGACATTAAATGGAGGCCCCATGTATAGGAGAGTCACCACCCTTGCATGTTAAGAATCCACTGCACTATTCGTATAAGAGTAGGGGGAAACCCCTGTGTAGTGGTCCACCTGCACACCCCAGTATATACATCTACAAGAATCTTCAGTATTGAAGGATGCAGATTATCCATAAGAAGAAGAAGAAGACCTTTAAATAATCCTTATTCGAGGGCCTATGTATACTTGGACCACAGTGGCTAAGATTTGAAAAAGAACTGTCAGATTATGATGTAGTTTCAATTCCAGGATTTGCTGCTTTCAAGAACACTATTTTTAAAACTTGTTTTCTCCCCCTTTTAGTCTTCCATACATAATACTTCCGCTACTCCTTCCCCCCGTTTACCACTCTCCTTCTCAGCCTCTCTCCGTGAAGAGCTAAATATAATGTTATTATTAATAAATATTTCAGACGTCTAAATCCGACCGCTCTGCAGAGACATCACGTAGACAGGCAATCCACCAGCCCGTCCGTCATATCCCTCAAACCCTCAACAACTTCTAGAAAAAGAAGAAAATCTGTCCATATTTTCATTTTAGACGACCATTTCAGACGACCCTAATCCCTAATACGTGATGGGCATAAGACAGGCGTGAAATATCTATTTTAGAGTTTGGCAGTTAATACGTGACTGACGATCTCAAAAATTGAGCCCGCGCGGGGCGGCTTGGGATAAGTAGGATAAGATGACGGCACTTCCGCCTCCAGTTCGCGATTATAATTGGAGGTGGAGATGTAGCAATTAATAACAATCAAAATCCGAAGCACCAATTTCAAGCAGAGGAAATAGAACGGTTTATAAATAGTACAGTCTCAAGTGAGAGCAAGGTTGAAAAGTTTTGAAGATTGTGTTTAGCACAACTCAATCACATATTCTGTGCCGAATTAGAATGAGGATTCTCATAGCGCTTTATAACGAAGTAGAGTGAGCGTGGAAAGATCCGAATTTTTCCCGTCGAACAGTCGACTGGATGTGAAATATTTGAGGCGTTTTAAAGCGTAATTCCGTTCACAGACATATTCCCGCGAGTTCTTTTCTCTTCGCAAAATAAGTGGTATGACGCCATTGTGTTTAGGTCCAGATTAACGTTATTAACAATTATTGATTTACAACATAATCCGCTTTCCAGCAATTTTAGACACGTTAAATGTAACCTCAACATCTGATTAAGCCTTATCATCAACCAAATGAAGTTGGGAAACTATTTTAATAGGCTCAGTTTACTTTCGTGCAAAAAGGATTTTGTTCACTGTGATGCCGCACTAGTTAATTAATAATTATACCCAATAAGAATTGAAAAAGAGGTTAACATCTAACGCTGATCACGCGCCAAAAGCTCTTTCGATTTGTAAAGCTGTAAAGCAAAGCTTCAATAAGGCCTTTAAATTATTATACAGGGCTTTTGTTTTTATTGGTTGGTTAGATGCAAATCTCTAGGACAAGAACTGACACGACACGACATCAAATAGTCTGATGATGAAAGAATAACCAAAATATTTGATGGTGACGATGATGATGATGAAAATGAAAATATTTTGATGTAAATATTTCTGACACAGAAAACTTATATATTAAAGATAAAGGTGAGTTCTGGTAAAAAAGAAGAAAATGAATTCTCACAGAATCAAACGAAACTTACACTGAATGTTCTAGATTACAAATAAATGTCATTTGCCAAACATTTTCGGTAGAAAATGTATACTGGCTGAGTAATGAGCATGGGAAGATTAGGAAATCAAGGTTAGTAGCCCCGACACCATTTGTGTAGTCCCATATACATCTTTCTGTGTACAGTGCTTGTTACTTTACCAAGACTGGGCCAAATTTATTGTGATTTTGATGAATCCAGAACCTTGCAGTACACACCAATACTTACATGCTACACGATCAACTTTTTCTGATCCATTCCACACCTTTTATTGCACAATGCAATCGCATTACCAGAACTAACTTTTACCTTTAAGTATACGAGAGTTATAACATATACTGAACGATGTTTATGGAAATCTGGAAATATTAGTATTCACGAAACAAGCATTGTATTATGGGTAAAGTAAAGCAATCAACATGTACTGACCTCAACGTTGACCTTGAGCTTCATCGATTCTATCTCCTTCTTCATCCTGTCCATAGACTTCCTGATCTTACTCAGCTCATCATCTTTCTGTCTCAACTTATTACGTAACCCTTGCATGTGACCTGTGACCTCCCCGTTGATCAGGTGCGGTATCTTGAGGTTGTTGGCGTAAGGTACGTTGAAACTCTCATTGCTGTAATCACCGACCATCTTGGGAACGCTGTTGTGGATGTGTTCACCATACTTGGGAGGCAGCTCAGGTAGCGGTTTGATGAGGATATCCCCGTTGGTGTGCCGGGCTTCTTTCCCGTTAGGTACTGAGGAACCCAGCTCAATGTTCTGGTAAGTCGTGCCCTGCTGTAGCTGGCTGTGCACATCACCCTTGATCACCTTGGGTTTCTTACCACGTCCAAAGAATTCTTCCTTCGGCGGGCTCGTCGAAGGTTTTGCTAATTGCGACGTTCCGTTTGTATACGAAGATGACTTTTGTCCGTTGTACGGTGCGGGCATTATCGACGACGGGTCGCGATACGAAACTCCATACCGCTTAGCTTTGTGTTCTGTATATGCTCTTGGTTTAGGAGGCACTTCGGATATCCTTGACTTGAGAGATTCAATCAAAGACACGGAATGTTGCGTTGAGTTTGTTGGAAGCTCTAAATTTTCGTAGATACTATGAACAGAACAGTCCAGAAGACTAGTTTCAATGTCATTGTCTGTAAGGTCAGTGTTTACATAGTTCGTCATGTCTTCCTCCTCTTCTTGTTGCGTGATTTCCCTTGGTCTGAGAGCTCTTTTTGTCCGAAGAACAGGTTCTTCATCTGGCAAGGGCAACGCTTGGTTCAGGTATTTGCTCTCCTGGAGAGACGCCCTCTTCGCGCACTCTTTGGCCAATCTCTCGTGCTTTAAATAGTCTTTTGTCGTCATGGCGCAGTGCATCTGGATGGTACTGATGGGAGGAAACACCTTGTCCTGATTCCTGATTAAATAATGGACCAACTGAAGACTCAAGGCAGTGCTACCAAGCAAGAAGTTGCCTTCGGCGTGTTGCGGACGCAATATATGAGGAGCAAAGATGTTTGCCAGGTTACCAAGTCCCATCTTGTTGTGCGCTTCAAACTTGTGGACCTCGTGAAGGAATCGGCAAAGGTACTTCAGAAGGTTGTAGTTAACCTTGGGAAGGAGAGCGAGCTGGACGACGAGTTGTCTTCGACCATCCTCTTCGCACTCTTGAAGACGTGACATGGCGGGGATGAAGTACCTGCAGTGCCTCCAGGGAATGAGGGGCTCAGGTAGATATTGGAAGTATCTCTTCATCAGGGATGCCACCGTGTGCGAGCTCGCGCCGTAGGCCTCGAAGTCGGGTACGTTGCCGCCATCGAAGATGTCCTGGAGCTCCTGGATCATGCTGGTGCGACCGTTCAATCTGTATCATGGAATGAGACGAATGGAAGAGTCTTGTTAGTTTTATACAAAATACTCTTTTTCAAAAATCCCTTAGTGTTGATTGTAAATTCACGTTGATTGATCAGTCTACCAGGTTTACAAATACATATTCGTAAGAAGCAAATATTCTAGGGACAAAAAATTCTACATCTAAATATAATTTTGAAGGGAATTTAGAAAAAGAAGTGTACAATTAACGTCACATTACACATGTTTAAAATAATTATTATTAATCAATACCAATCCCAATATAGAGTATATTCTAACAGTCAATGTCCATGAATTCACTGTGTAGTCTATAATCATTTGACATGTCGACATGCTTTTAACAAAACATGCTTTTAATGAAAAACAGACCCAAATGTGGCAGTTGCCGCACGAAATTGCTTTGATTGCCGCCTGTTAACAGCAATAAGTTGGATTTGAGAATATATACTATTTTATGGGGTTTTGTTCTGATTATTTCTTCATAATGGTGAGAATTATATGTAATGTTTTTTCTTTCAAATTGTGTATGTTGAAATTGCTTTGATTGCCGTCTCTTATGTCCTATGACAAGGTATTAATCTACATTTGCCACTCCATACCCAGGAGAGAAATGGGGTATGGTAGGATGACGAAAACCTTTGTGTTATTTCTTGCCATATGCCTTCACAGTGACCTTACGGTAGGAATAATCCCCAGTGGAGATGGTGCACATTGTGCGTGAATGAATCTGATGACCGGGGTAATGATATCTATAAAACGCTAAGAAACTTCTTTGTTCGTGTTAAGCGCTATAAAAATCCAGATTATTATCCTTTACACATGCCGCTAACTTGTTACAAACATTCAGGTGGAACCAATTCCAAGTCACCTCTCCACTGCACTGAATCTTTAACATTCGTGGAAAGCTCATTTGAGTTACACCCAATTTTCAATATTTGTTCTCCCCTGATGACACAAGAACGAACAGCCGCCTTCAGCCAGCTGAGGGTTTCTCCCCTCTTTTCTTCATGGAAAAAAGTAAGAATCACATTACCTCCAAGAGCAAATGAGATTATTACAACCACCTGTTGCCTTGGTAACGTATGAGTCAAGCTCCTCGTGGAGGTGCCTCAGGCAGACGACACAGACAGTGTTCAAGATAGGAAATACTTTTTGGCGGGAGAGGGGATGATACAATTTTGGGGCCGATCTCTTCTTAAGTTGATGTGATATGGAATGTATAGAGTATATAGGAAGCAGTCTAAAATAGTCGATTTTGCTGAATATTTTCTTCTTTCTTTGAATTTAATTTGTTAAATTATGTACATGATAAAAATGCAATCACAATGTTTACATGTAATTGACAGTGAATAGTATCTGCATTTTCAATTATCAAGATGACATATATTATTGATTGTTATTGATGTTTATGTTATTGATAAGACTATGTCTACGAGTCAGAAAAGACCGGAATGATTAAGTCCTGTTGAGAAGAGTGGAATTGATAGAATTGTCTTAACATTTTTATCTGACTCCCGTTATAGAGAAAAAAAAGACGGTCACAAGACGGATAATCTAACACTATTTCAAAGTTTATCGTTTAATATCCTTAAATACGGGGGGGGGGGGGGGTAGATGAATGGGTAAAAGTAAGTTCATGAGAAAAGATCGAAGATGACATACCTACGTTAATAACAGAGTATAAAGAGAGAGAGAGAGAGAGAGAGAAGAGATGGAGAGAGAGAGAGACAGAGAGAGAGAGATAGAGGGGGGAGAGACATACAGACAGACAGAGAGACAGACAGAGAAAGAGAGAGAGAGAGAGAGAGAGTTCCCCACTAAAAAGGATATTATCATTCCGTCGGTGATTTTTTTTTGTTGTTGCTAACTTATCAGAAATTTTAGGACTTTTTGGACCCCCTCCCCTCGTCCGGAGATTATTGGACCCTCTACCCCCATTAACTACTCAAATGCATGTATATTCAATCTTCAAATCCATGATAAGAGTACAAATGAACAAAGTCAATTATGATATGATATTCAATTACATACAAGTCTTTTTATCATTCTATATTTGAAAAAATGAAGGAAAGGCCCAATAGGAACAATTTACTTGCGGTTTTATTTGTGGTCATGGATCGTATTTTGTAGATTCAGGGTAGTTTGGATACTTCAATATCATGTGATTTTTTTTGTCGGTGCCAAAAGTTAAATTTGGAACACTGGAGTGCCATGATTCATGCCTTGTCTTCCTTTATAGATTTTAACATGTCTGATGTCTTAAAAAGTAAACGTTGAAACGAGTTCTCACCAAGAATGGACAAAATGTAGAGTTGAAATTGCACAAGCTCTAACATTTCATAATTTGTATAGTTTTAAACACAATTAATTTATTTCAGTTAGTGACTATTCCTCAACACTCGCCGTGGACGAGATTTTAAAAAAAATACAAAGAAAACAAAAACTGCAAAACACAACTATATTTGAATATTCAAACGTTTACATGATTGTGAAACAAAAATAGCAGTCGATAACAACAACCAAATCATTATTCTGACAACTATTTTAATACGGTTGGTGTCTCGAGATCTCTAATATATAAATATAGGTGTGTAAAGCAGATAGCGATTCTCTGACCTAAGCAGGGACAAGACCCATTAAATCTGGGGGTGATTCACAAAGATCCTAAGTCGAACTTATCTCTAAGTTGGACTTAACAGTTATGGAGAGCCGTTAGCACTTTTGAAAATATTTTGTAAAAATTATTTTGAAAGGCATCAAATGTTGATTCATAGCATTCATATTGCCTATTGTCAAGGAGACTTTATGTTCTTGAGGTGGAATTTATGAAAAGTCTAAATACTCGAATTTTTGCTTTTGAATATATTTTATTTTAAGGCTACAAATGGCTCTCCACAATGTTTAAGGCCAACTTCGAATTAAGTTTGAATTAGGATCTTTGTGAAACACCCCCTGGAATTAGGAATTGATTTGACGCACTTCAAGCATGTAAGTATTTCAGATACCTTGATTGCAAGGACAGCTCATGTCTGGAAGTTCCTATCTTCAAAATCTGAGTCATTAATGTACGCAAAACCATCCTTTTCATTTGAAATAATATTGTTTTAAACTTAATTAGCTTTGATTAACATGGGAATTAAAGTCTTAGAGCAAAATTGATAAATGGACATGTGCATTTTGTTTCAACTGAAGAAAAAACAGGGGGGGGGGGAGGAGAAACACAAAAATGAATAAACGCGAGGCATGTTATGACCTAGCGGCCAGTATGCAATAAAGACTGCCCTACAGACCGTTCGAGGAATTCAGCGAATTGTTTCCCGCGCTCGCAGACATTTCAAAGATGTCTGTCGAATCGGAACGGACATTGTAATCATCTTATCGTCTGGCTTGAAAGATTACTCATAACGAGGACATTTCGATGTCATATTGTCCGTTTTTTTTCGACGAATAATGGATTAGAGTTGTCAATGGCGTAGAATCTGGTGCACAAGGGGAGGATGCCCTCCCCAATGGAGTGACATATACAGAGGGAAAGCAGAACAAAGGAAAGGGAAACATAGAAAATAATAAATAACAAAGAGAGGGCTAGTAACGAATAAGGAACATAAAACGAACCCCTAAACAAAAACTTTTCCCAACACGATGGGCTCTTTCTCTCCGATGTCATCTACCAAGAAAAACCGGTGCGCCCCCCCCCCCCCCCCCCCCCACAGCATCAGAGCCCCTCAATAGCCGGACCGACGCCACTGGCAGTTGTCTGGCTACTTTCGATATTGATTTAACCCATATCCCAAATAATTGAAGAAAAAGAAAATAAATGACTATATAGAGAGGTTAAAATTACTAGGTCGCTTTCATTCAGATGTTTGCATCTTTGACATCGTTTTGAGATTTGCTTTTGCCTTTTTCCTTCACGTATCCGGAAATATATGTCAATTTGGATGAAATGAATCATACGATGAGATGAATATTGTGTAATCTTTGTAGACCTTGTGAGAAGTACCATGATGATACAGCATTAATTGGAGTTATCGACGGAATCAATTTCTCTGCCTTGTAATCAGTACTTGAAGTTGACACTAAATATTTGAGACGTTATTTGGTATTGGAGAGTAAGTCATTTTCGTCATGCTTTTTACGTAAACTTGAATTCTCTCTACTGAATATCAATAAAAACCCAGTGTAACTCCCCCTTTCAAGGTTTTGCCTTCTTTTACCAAATATCTTTCTCCTTATGATTGTCGTATTTTGTTAGAAGTGCAGCTGACAAATAACGATTAAAGAAAATCTGTTTCTATTTGTAATATTCACCAATACCCTTTCCCTTTAAATAAGAATTGTAATTCCCTTTCTTGTCGTTAATATTAGTACACCCGCTTCAAAATATGGTTTTGTGCTTCTTTACTTCGTCACAAAGTCATAATTATCTACAAAGATAATCTGCCCTTCCATTTTAAAGGAGGCAAGTGACCAAAAACTGAACACAATTGATTATATTTTTCTTGTTTAGAATAGACTCAGAAGTATCCTTCCATTCGTTTTTTGCAGCAAAATATAAATCGGATACTTCTGGACCTATTCTTATCAATTATTACAATTCTCCTGAATTTGAATAAATAGGCCTACAAATTATTTTTACAGAAACATATTATTACAATTTTTACTTGCTTCCTTTTTATCAAAGTAAGGACAATATATTCCATTCTTGTTCCCATCTCTTACCTGAAGATACCTTCCTCGTGTAGGCCAGTCGCTCTTAGCTGTTGTACACACCGCTCTACCACAAGGGGGATTTCCCTTGTAAATTCCTCGCTCTCATTCAGTATGGTGTCTTCAAGACTCTGACCAAAGACTCCTGAAAAGGGCGAATTGAAAGAGAGAGAGAAAGAGAAGGAGAGAGAGAGAGAAATGTAGAAGGGACAGGGTGAATAGACAAAGACAGGGGAGGGATATGGAGGGAAGAGAAGAGAGAGAAGAAATTGAGAGAAAGGGATACGGAGGGAGAGAGGGAGAAAGCGAGAGAGAGAGAGAGAGAGAGAGAGAGAAAGAGAGAGAGAGAGAGAGAGAGAGAGAGAGAAATATAGAGATACGGAGGGAGAGAAAGAGAGATTGATAGGGGAAAAGAGGAAAAAATAAAACAAGGGAGATGTGAGAGATGGAAATATAGGTATTAATGACAAAAAGAGAAAATCAGTTTTTAAACACAAAATTTAAAATTCTCCTCAGAAAAAAAGTTAACTTATGCTAGAGATCACGCTTTGATTGCTAAATATAAATCTAGTTCGGGTCAACTGGGGGAAACATGCGCCCGTATTCTTCCGCAATGTGAGGCGGCAGGCGAGGGAGTTGTCAGGTCCTTAAACGTTTCAATGTGGTTTCTTGTGTGAAGAAATGACAACTCTTCTAAACATGCTGTCATACAAAGTCAAGTCTAAGATGAATATTACTTGCATACCTCTGTAACATAGATTACTAAGAGTAGTAAACAGAAACTGACATAATTGACTACAGCGTTGTCATGCATGAGAAGTGCAAACAGGGACGAGCCTGAGGCAAATTACATCATTACACTTTTAATCCAATATCAGACTGGTTTCGGGCAAGTGATCTTTCGGAATCAGTAGATGAATATGACTTAGAGATGTAAACAACACCAAACAAACACCATTGTTTTCAAACTCAGTGTCCCTATATCACCCTCATGAGGGCACCTGTCCTGTTGATTAACTTTTGGCCAGTGCATTGGTCAGTGTATTGGTCAGTGTATTGGTCAGTTTCTTTTTATAGACTGACCTGCATGTAGGCCCCTTTAGGGACCTCAACCTCTTGCCGGTCAACCGATTTGAGTATTTTTCGTCAACACTGTATGATGCTGTATAGCCACCCGCAACTCATGTCAAAGTGACAGTATTAATTAACATTGGGAAATTATGATCATAGACATCTTGAGCAAAGACTTGTGCAGGTTAATCAACTGTCCAATCAGGGTTGAGGTACCAAATGTCAGGTTTAAAAGGTTATCCCAATTGGTCAATGGTGTATATGTTTAAACGAAACAGCTTTATAAACAGTATTTATAGTTCAATTCGACAATTCGACAACAATTCGACAGCTGATTACTGATATTGTACAGTTGTCCAAGTTACTCGCCACAGGATGAAACATTTAGAAGGCAAGCTATAATTCGTTTTAAATATATATATATATATATAAAGTTAATTATTTCATTTTGCTAATACATCTGCTAAAGAAAACTGTCATTTCAAGCTTAGGCAAATGCTCTGTTTCATTATAAATTATCACATTTTGCTATTTCTTTTGATTTCACATACCTCCACGGAGTTTCCTGATTTCTCTTTCCCATATGTCCAGTTCGGCTTGTTTCGGAGAGCACATCATAAACGGTTTGCCCAAGATATCCGGCTGTTCCGGATTTTTACCTGCAGATATAAAGAAACGAAGATTGTTACACGACAATCAAGATCAACAATTAATTTGTTTTGGCTGCATGAGGAATGAAACCATATTCCATTTGTCTTGTTTGGGAAACTAAATCATGAACGGTTTGCCTATGAGACATCCGGCTGCTCCGGATTCTTGCCTGTGTATATCGATAGTAAAACATTTCCATTTTTCCAGTTGATTATATTTTCTTTGATGAAATGATCGAAACCATATATGCAGTTTGGTTTATGAACGGTTACCCAAAATAACCGGCAGGGGCAGGCTTATGCCTGATGATATCAAAATATTATTTTCATTCATTTCATATTATGTCATACACTATCATATTAAGGTCTTCTTCTTCTCTTTCCTTTCTCTTCATCTTCATTTTAACTACCTCTGCTTAGTCCTCTCCTCTTTTACTTTCAAAACTTTCCCTTACTTCTATGAAATTCTTCCTCCCGTCCTTTCAACTTCTCTAAAGGTTCTCTTGTTCTCGATTATTTTCTTTTTAGTTTGTATTCAATCTCCTTGAAAATACAGCGTGCACATTCATTTCTTTAGGTTTGGTTGATTTGACCACGATCTTGAAGTTGATCCAATACTCTCTTGTTTTAAGGTCATTAACACACCGTGGCTTCGCCCTCAAACCAGCGTAACCTACCTTCCAGTCTGACTAAGTTTTATTTCTTCTTTCCAATAATGACCTTTTCATGGTATTATGACAATTCAAATTGAGTATTGGAAGGACAATTGTGCACACCATACATATCTTATTCATGAATTCTGCATGATATCATAGGCATTCTGAATATCGAATATCAAGACGAAGTTCTTGTGGTATTTCATCACGTGGTTCGTTCTTCACCGTAAATTGAAGACTTGCCAAAACTTCACCACATTTCAAGAAATTCTGACATGACAAATAATTGTCAAATTTGTCAATGTATATTACTTTTATTTTCTCAATGTTATTTGTACTGTACAGTATTTTACAGTATATCTGCTGTTAATGTGCTTTGTATTTCTTGAAAAGGCGATTTACAAGAAATGAAATGTGCTGTATCTTGTCATTTGCCACAAACATGAAAGCAGAAGCCTGAATAGTAGGCTAGGATGCGGTATGATAGACCAACTATTGGCTTCATCCTCTAAATTCGAGAACTTTGGAAATAAATCGCAGTTTATGGTTCTCTTTAGAAGAAAAAAACCTGAGAATGATTCAAGCTAGATGACACACTCTCAGCCACCAATCCCAGGGGATGATGTAAAGCATTACTCACAGGTTTGTTGAACCTGTTACAAGATTCTTCTAAAGGCTTGTTTTTCTCTTCAAAAACCCGAATTTTTAAAGCAAGAATAAAAAAGCGATAAGTGATGGTTCTTATCTGTTTTTGAAAACGATATGTCATAATGTTTGACAGTGTGTAATCAAACACACGATTCTCAATTTTTGTTTGCCTTCGTTCAAAGGAGAAAAGGAAATTTGAAGATATGATTTGGATGATAATGATAATATAATGATATGCCCATATATAGCGTATATAACAGCTACTATATGAATATACTCTCCTGCGCTTAAAGGGATCCGGTAACTTTGTCTCAGATTCTGAAACAAAATTCTGGATTTAGCTCATGCTGCAATGCTTTAGGTCAGTCAGGAGCCCCATGACTTTTACAAGCCGATCGCCTGTCTTATTATCAAGATATTTATGATTGGAATTCACAAATTTTGAAAACCGTTTGCTAAACGATTTTCATAACACTACAGTCTATTGGGGAAAACGAGTATGGTAAAAACCGGCCATTCTAAGATTTTTTACTTTTTTGAGGCACTTCTTGATCATTTTGAAGCGCAATTTGTTTAGGGCTTCAATATAACACCATATCACAGACGCTGATAACACATAGGGCCGTGTATCTCAGATTTAACATTATTAAACGATCCCTTTAATAAGAGTGTCATATTATTAACCCAGCTGTAGCTGAGCCACCATCATGAAGCGCTACTAAAGCATTCAAGGAATTCTACCAAACGGGTATCCATTTACTTCACCTGGGTGGAGAGTGGATATTACAACTATTTACGTTTAGTCAACCCCCTCCTAAACACTCGCACGAAAACATTTGTTGTGCATGTTGTGTAGGGACTGTATTTGCGACCCAGACACAATAGCTGTTCACGGGTGCCTGCAGTATTCTTGAAGTGCATGAAAATCACAATTCTTGTAGCAAACACAACTGCAATAGTTCGGTGAAGTTGCAAGCACGATCAATATGTTTTATAGAAATTTAACCTTATACGACCCCCTTAAAAAATAATAGAATTATAATTTCATCCACGATCATCTCATGGCCTATATCATGGTGTTAAATAATTATATTTGGAAATATTGTAGCAAAACTTATCGACGCCCCACCTCTTCATTGCTTATATCACCACAGGTGTATCACCATAATCATCAAATTCAAACTTAACTCCTGCTGAAGTAAGCATGGTAGCAGCAGCAGGAAAAATGCCTTAAACAGAAAGCGCTCAGTTTCGGTGACCAAGTGCTTTGCATGACATATATGACAAAGCAGTGGTGAATTCTGCGCGGCATGCTCCCCTCAGCCAAATTGAAAAATCAAGTTGAACTCAGGAAAATATCAATTAAACCTCACTTCCGGAAAATTTTCTTGTTAAAGAGAAACTGTCATGCAAGGGCAACTCAGAAACGGGCAAGTTTTGTCAGTTGCTGTTTGGGAGGGGGGCATTTTGATTGAGTGACGAGGCAGAATTTGGCGGGAAATTTATTTCTTTCTGGGCTGTCGTCTGCTCGATGTTTTGCCTGGAGGACAATAGGAAGACGGGCTGTTAAAGAGAGGAAGTGAAAACTGTGAGTCCGCCTAAAAACAGGGCCCGTACACGCGTGACACGGCAGTAAAACATCATTTGGGAATCAACTATGACAGGATGGAAGCGAATGTGATGAGGAGACCGATAACGTTATGAACTGTTGACCGTCGTGGTGAAATATCACAGCCATGCGTGATAACCTTCTTTGTTAACTGCATTCTCATTTCAAAACACGAGTATCATCATTATCATCTTAATCACCATCATCATCATCGTCACCATTTACAATCTTATGTTACTATTACGTCATTTATTTTAGGCATTCCATGTACCTCATTTACCTATTTTGTATAACATGAGTTATGATTTATTTAGAAAATTGCTATATTAGGTTTTATATATCTAAATCTTCGGATGTATTATGGTACATTATATTATTTACTTTATGCATTATATGTAATGTTATTAAAAGAAGAAAAAAGAGTGTTTCTGCTGTATATAATTTTCATTCTGTTTTGCTATATACACTTCATTGTAAATTTATTTATATGATATATATGTTTACAAACGAAATATTGATTTGTTACATTACATTGTAAATTGATTTATATGATATATATGTTTACAAACAGAATATTGATTTGTTACATTGCATTGTACATTGATTCACTCATTTTTCATACATTAATGAAACAAATCTTTCGCTAACATGCAGTGTTAAACATGTACACGGCGTATCCAACAATTCATAATCTAAGGGCGGACCCCCCTTCTCTCCCATATGAAGGTTTTGATTTGATTTGCTTTATTTATTATCCACTCGTGTGATGGATCGCCCTTGCCAGCTAATATCTGTGTTTTTTAAAAGAGGTCCAAGCCGAAAAATAAACAGAAACATATGAGCAAACAAATATATATATAACAAGCAATCATAGAATATAAATGATTTAAATGAATACCGAACGCAAGTTTTGATTCTTCCTCTGGGTCCTAAAATGGGGAGGGGTGGGGTAACCTTCCCCAACCAAGAGGCCTATTAGATAAGCCTCATATAGTCCTACAATGTACGTGGGCTATGATATGTAAGAACAATCAAATAAGGGATGCACAATATAATATTCTTCATAACTAGTTGTACAAAGATTCAACTCCTTTCAACAGAAGATGAAACGATAGCGTTCCATATTATTCTTAACGAGTAACATGTGGAAGGCCTAACGTTGTCTATGGGAAGAATAATTAGCGCCATGCGAATTTTAACATTATTCGCATTTCTAGACATCGCTTTGTAAGTTCTAAATGTCTATAAGTCTCTTATCTTCTCTTGAAGCCCCTATAAAATCAGAACTTCTCCGAATGTCTCAAAACAACACGAATAACAATACGAAGGATATTCGTTGAAAACAAACAGATAAACGGAACAACACCAAATTGTTACTCCTCGCCCATAGGGTGAAAGGCAACGGACATATTCAGCAAATTTTTTTCTTTCTTTACACTTACAAAAAGACTTGCAGATACACGCAACAACAAAAAATTGTTACTCGCCGCCCATAGAGTAAAGGCAATGGACATATTCAGCAAATTTTGATTTTTGTTTCCCTTCTTTACACACACAAAAAAAAAACGAGCAAAAAAAACACAGCAACAAAGAACCAATATACACATTTCTAAGCAGTTCTATCTCTACCACCGGGGAATACTTTACGGAAAGGAGCCTCTTCATATAATTGCTCTAATGACTAGTGTGTGAAGGCTTCTAAATTTAGATGCTGGAATTAGAGATATAACCGCAGAGTTGATCAGGGAACATTTGTTCTTTATTAAGAGGGTGCCCTTAAACGCATGTGATTGTGATTGAGTGAATTCAGAGTAATAATGGATGAAGGAGTGACGGGGTTTTCTTTTAACCCTTGCCAAGGTTAAGATGATGCCCTGCCAAGATCTAAGAATAAATAATTCATGAAAAACATTTGTTTTGTGAAGTTTTTAGCACACTTTTGAATTTTTTAACAGAAATGTGGCACTATTTCAATGATTCGAATCATCATCTTTATCATCATCATCTTCATGATTATCATCATTATCATCTCTATCAACATCATCGTCATCATAAGAAAACCACAAATTTGTATCATTTAATAATTTTGATTCTTG